GGAAGGAAGGAAGGAAGGAAGGAAGGAAGGAAGGAAGGAAGGAAGGAAGGAAGGAAGGAAAGACAATGCAAATACAAGTAGGTTGGGGACTGAAATGGAGAAAAAACGTATTTCTTTACTTTAGGAAAAGCACCGCACTCTAAATACTGAACACTGAAAATTTAGTTTAGTGCCCACTTACCATTTGGAATTGCTGATAGCTTTTCCAGAGTGTCATTCAGAGCTTTCAAGAGAGCTGAGTTTCTTTCCCCTGCAACTTGCAACTTATTCTGCATTCCTTTTAGGTTATCCTCATTTTCTGTAAGGAGTATACAAATAAAATAGATTTTGTTATATTAATATAATTGATTATAAGTTTAATATATCTTGAAAGGAATTTAGGGCTACATAGGAGCTCTCTCAATTTAGTGTCATAATGACTAGACTAGAAATTATAATTGATTATGAAGAGCTATCATTGGATTTTTGGACTATTTATGGCTTGGAACTCAAGCACTCAAATCACTACAGATTGAATATTTATCATGATTTATTCATTTGAAATCAGCTGGTTAATTATTACATTCAGCCTGATGGTGCTTGAAGTGCAGATCATTGGCACAGGCTGATAATCAGCTTTATTAATTTCTCTGTCCCACCTCATACCACACCAAGATATGCATCGTTGCATTATTTTATTCTTTTCAATATTGCAAGCCTCCCAGAGTCACCTTGTGGTTGAGAGGGGCAAATAAATTTAATAAATAGATAAATAATAAAGATGAAAATACCAATTGTGCATGCTTACCCTGGTATTGACTAATTAAAGCAGCCATGTCTATTTTTCAGGCTCAGACAAAAGCATGAAGAAAGCTGCAGCTACTTTAAAGATAATATGTGCACCTCTTATAAAACTATTTTCAAAGTGTGATTAATAACAACTGTAGTTTTTGAAGTTTAAGTTAAGTTTTCCATAAAATTGAAAATCTTATGTTACTGGCTTATAAGCAGTTGTGGAATTCAAATAATTTAACAACCGGTTCTCTGCCCTAATGATTTCTTCCAACAACCAGTTCACCAAACTGCTCAGAAAGTCAACAACTGGTTCTCCTGAAGTGGTGCAAATTGGCTGAATCCCACCACTGCTTATAAGGACAATTGGAATCTATTGAATGTGATACAGAAATTTTCCACATTGCACAATGGGAAAACTTACTGGATAACCCGTGAGGTTCTTTAAAACGTAATATCCATTGTCCAGTAATGTCAGAATTCTCAGAATCTGGTTTCTTCAGTATATGGCTCTTTGTGTGTGTGTGAGTGTGCGCTTGCGTGGGCATATGCATGCGTGTGCAAGTGTATACATTTGCAAATATGCATGAAAATGAAATAACATCAAAAAGTTCAAAGCAACATCACAAATAGGTTTTACTCATTTACTCATAGGAGTCATGGTAGCACAATGGTTAGAATGCAGTATCGCAGGCAAACTCTGCCCATAGCCAGGAATTCGATCCTGATTGAATCAAAGTTGACTCAACCTTCCATCCTTCTAAGGTTGGTAAAATGAGGACCCAGACTGTTGGGGGCAGTATAATGATTCTGTAAACCATCAGAGAGTCCTGTAAAGTGCTATGGAGCAGTATATAAGTCCAAGAGCTATTGTTATTTATTTCCACTACCCTATTGCCTTTTCCAAGAGTCTCTACCCATCCAACCAGATTGAGTAGAATAACATGATGTAGACCCAGCAGCCAAAGAGTGTCAGCTGGCAGGGACCAGAAGACGAACTTTTTCAGCAGAACTTTTTCTGCACTGTGGAACATCCTCCCTTTGGAGATTAGAATGGCTCCAAGCCGGTTAGCCTTTCATTAGGGTCCTAAAAACCTGGGTACACCTGTGTCTGGCCTGCTGAGCATGGCAAGGGTGTTATCCTGGCTGTATTGCTGTATCTCTGCTGCTCTGTTTATTTATTTTGGATGTTTCTATTGTTTTATAATGAATTTAGTATTTTGATTGTAATATATATTTTTGAATTGTAAGCCATCCAGAGTCATTAACTGAGATGGGCAGCCATATAAATTAATTGAATGACTGAATGAATAACTTGATAGAAAATAACTGCGACTGATAAAGTACCATTGAAACAAACGAAGTATGATGAAAACAAAACCAAACAAAAATCTTTAAAGTGGAGACAAAACTAACAATTCGTATTTTTCTCTCATGGCACAAACACAATTACACTTTAGAAGAAAACTCATCTTTACATAAAAGAATAAACTAAATAGCAATTTAAACAGAAATTATGGTCCAAATCACAGGGTCAGTAATTGCATATTCAATATCATACTGATGAAATATGATTCAATATATTTTGCAAATAATTTTGTGTGACAATAGTGTATCTGAAGATGTCATTTTCTCTAAAAATGATTATGTTAACCATTGTCAGAATGTATGCTCCACTTTAGATTTGTGGCCATTGTCAATACGTATATCAGGAATATAGTTTAGCAAAGAAAATGTGGATTAGCTGCAGATCAGTGAAGTAAAAATTGAGGGAAGAACATCCTTTTTGTACAATTATTTTTTCCTTAGAAATAAAATAAATGAACTAAGGGCAAAATCTGGGAATGCACCATTAGTTTTGCTAAAGGTGGCAAATATGAAAGAATCCAAACATAGGGAAGTTAATGAGCAATATCCAAATAAGAAATGTATTATTGTATTTTAATTGGACTATAAAATGTTTTTTAGTGCAATGATAGGTACAATAATTTTGTCAAATGGCATATTAGAAAGAATCTCATTTCTGCAATATTTATTTCATAGGGAAGAAACTAATTGTTCTTTAAAAGTGACTTTGCATACCACTTAATGAAAAAAAAAAGGTATTTTCATAGCTTGAGCCAGAATGACCAAACATCAGCTATTCTAGGTGTATCAAATTATTGCATTGTGTTAAGTGATAGCCTTCTACTCTTTTACTCCTTTCTAGTATTCCCATGGGAAATCTTATCTTTTTTTTTTTGGTGATCTCTCTAGAGACAATGTCAGCCCTGTTCCAGCTGGTACTCTAGGAAAGAAAGACGCTTGACTCCATCAATGGATTGCAAGGCTCATTTACTAGAGACAACTGGGCGCAACAAAAGCAAGGCCAGATCTGAAGAAAACCCATACAAATTGCTACATTGTCCCAAATCCTTAGCTCCCCCTTCTTTGACCAGTTCATCAGTGGCCAATAGGATGCTAGCTGGATGGTTTGACAACAGGAAACTTCGAGAAGCAGTTAACTTTCTATGCCCAGGTCCTAGGCGCCCAAATGTCCTTAAGGTGGACCAGATGAAACTGGTTCACACTTCTGCTTTCTGTCCATGCTGATTTCCTTCTTCCCTTTCCCCCTCTACAACAAGCCCCTCTCCCCATCCCGCTCCACCTCAAGATTGTGGAAAGCTGCAGCAACAGTGATAGGGAAAGCAACTTGACAGATAGAGAGTCCATAAAACAGTGTTATATACAACCATTACATACAACCCTCTTTGCCTATAAATACATGCTCTAAAGCAGGGCTCTCCAACCTTAGCAACTTTAAGACTCATGGACTTCAACTCCCATGGTTGTTAAGTGAATCTGGCTTCCTCACTGACTTTGATCACATAGCTATGGGACACCTCAACTATCATACTGTCTGGGTTTTGATTATGTGACGATGGGGATGCTGCAATAGTTGTAAGTTTGAAAAATGGTCAGAAGTTATTTTCTTCAGTGCTGTTGTAACTTTGAATGGTCACTAAACGAATGTCAGAGATTACCTACATTCATACTATGGTTTTTAAACAATTAACACTTTCTTGCATAACAAAATAAGACATTTTTAATCTTATTCTAAAAATATTTTCAAGATAAGATAAATCTTGTTCTAAAATACTTTTAAAATTCTTTTAAGATCCTTCAGGCATTTTTTTCTGAAAAATATATGGCAATTATATTATGCTTTTAACATAATTTCCATTTAATAGATGGATAGATTCAGTAGTTTTAGTAATTTTGCTGCCAAATGTTTTATAAATTCATTATTATCTCTCTGGGGTGAATTCCCCAAGTTATATCGATTATTTCATTTCTATATTTTAGAATCGCTCTGCTTTAAAACCTGCTTTTAGACCCATTAAACCAGGATATTTTTATGAGTTTTAATAAGCTTAATCCCTGTGGATCTCTTAAATGCCAACATTCTCAATCCATCTGTTTAATATTTTTCCATTTAATATCTCAAATGCATTTTAATTGTTTCCTGAAAATTAGAAAGAAGCAAAATAAATTTCCTGAGATAGCCTCATACAAAACAGAAGATAAAGCTTGAAAAATTATCATTTTTTAAAAAAGTTTACACTGTTTTTTTAATTGAAAACATTCTGAAGTGCCACAGCTTGAAATTTCCAGCAATGAAATTAACCCTCAGACCAATCTTCTAAACCTTAAGCATTTTCCTATAGAATAGCAAAACAAATGAACAAATCAGTGTTCTGTTTGTATTTATTCTAAAAGGTAATATGGAACATACTTCTTTTTCTATTTAGTAAAACTGGATGGATAAAGATCTTGCTGGTCATAACTAGAAAGGATTTCTAGTTGTGACTAGACACCCCGACACCCCCACTTTACTGTTTGTATTTCTGTTGCTCCCTTCTGGGAAGAGGTTTCGAAGTATTTCTAGCAGGACTACCAGATTCTGTAACAGCTTTGCTCTCTACGCCATCCATCTGGTAAACTTGTAAGATTCATTTCTCTCGCTATGTACATGCATACATCCGAATTAAATTACTGTTGCTTCTCCATGTCATATAATATATGTGAGTATATGAATATTTATTTAGTTATGTTTAGGTACTCTATATAAGAGGTGGAGACCCTTTGAGAGCTGTATGCAATGAAATTTCATTTTAATGTATGTCAATCAGGTACCTTCAGAGTGACAATAAAATTATTATTCCATTCCATTCCATTCTATTCTTCTACCTGTGGAAAGACTATGATCTAGTGAAGGAATCCCACTGATGGTAACAAAAAGGCAATGTTTTTCCTGCAATCTATTTCCCTTTCCAGCATTTTAACAGTTGAGTCAAAACAATAGAAATGAAATAAGTAAGAAGCTATTAATTACAGATAGTGAGAATAATAAAAGCAATATAGTAAAGTAAGTTATGTGTCAGCTCATTTACCAGAATGAATGAAGTTTGCATAAAGGCAGATGTTTACAATATACCTAAAGGCAAGACTTGCTGGGAAATTAACAGTTTCTGTGAAACTTTCTAAGACTGTACTTTGTACATATCTTTGTCAAAGTGAAGAACTGCTTCGAATAATATCAATATGGGAAGAAAATTTGAGGGGAGAATGGAAATGTGCAAATCCCTTCTTTACTGAAAAATAAAATATGCTTTTGAACTTTTATACAACAAACTTTTATGTCATTTTGCTGTTCCTAGTATTACCTGGCAACAAAAATAATATACAAATCATATAATATACCAATCTCATTAAGAAAGAAGACGTTTTCTTTCTCAGATTTTCAAAGCAGACATGGAGGTAGAATTTCCATTCTTCCTGACTTGCTCTAGAATTGGTTGATCATTCTGAAACAGTATGAAATGCTGTGGGTACTTCTGCTCTAAAGCAAATTATAAAGGTCAGGAGAAAAGCCTTTGTAGGCATTGCTTTCAAACATATGGGAAAAACTTTTCCAGTGCTTTTACTTCTCCTACCTAGCCACAGGAATCTTTAAGGACTTTCCTGTTACACAGTTAAGCAGGTGCATAAGTCTACATTTATGTTTGTGTTGGCTGCATGCATATGTATGCGTATGAATTTAACATTTCTCTTGTGCCATTTTCTAAGTCAAAATTGTCTCTAGATGCTCTTTTGTCTTTCAGGGCAAAAAACAGATTTTCTGAATGGAAATAAAGAGAGGCATGCTAGGTAAATGAATGCTGATAGCATCGCTAAAATTCATCCTGATAATACATTAGGAACAGTTGAGAAGATGAAGTCTTTTTCTCAGCGTAGTGAAGAATTTCATGCTTTTGGCCAAGAATATATGTAGTGGAATACTGCTCAGATTCTACAGATTCGTTAAAAAAGGCAGAAAGGGAACAGGCTTGGTAAGTAGTTTGAAAAATATTCTTTATTTTTCTATACCACTGACATCGTAGACCAAGAAAGGGGCCTGACCCTTTCCATTGCTTTGTTGGCTGCCATCTGGTTCCCCACTTCCTCTGCATCCTAAATTCCAGTACTATAGTGCCATCTACTGATAGCCAGATAATTTGCAATTAAAAAAAAAACCATTATTGCATGATGCCCAGTTCTTGCCCTCAGGCTGTTTTCTGGAAGGTGTGCACTCTTGGTATAAAACAAATCACTTTCTAATCAATATCAAAGTGCCGGCCCTGCTGAAGTATTATCAGTTCAAAAGTATCACATTCTGAGTTTGAGGGGATTTACTCTCACATTATATGCAGCATTGTAAATTCATTTAAACCAGGGGTGGGCAACTATAGCAACTTTACAACCGAGCCTCAGGAATTCTGGGCGTCGAAGTCCACAGGTTGTAAAGTTAGTATAGTTGCTCACTCCTGGTTTATACAGAAAGTATGGCATGCTAAGAAGACAGAATTGAAGGAAGCACTTATTAATTTTATATAAGCCTAGCTCCATGTAATACATTGAAAATGAGTTTCCAAAATTAGGGGAAATAATGAAAATCATGATTTTCTAAGACTATCATACACAGCAAGCAGCATCTCCAATTCCTTTGTCTAATGAGCAGATCAAAGTTTAATGGTTAGAATGACAATTCTTCAGAAAATTCTCAAAAACACGGCTCTTGTAAGACTTACCAATCAAAATGAAATAATAACTTCTATCTCCCTGGCCAGCATTTTTGGGTTTTTATTTTGCAATTAATCTTCCTTACAGAGAAGTGTTATAATTAAATTTCTCAGTACAGAACTCCACAGACCATATATCTTAAAAATAGTATATTTGATTCAATTTTCTTGCTCTGTAATTGATTCCTAGCATATATTCTGACACAGAGCAAACCAGGGACAGAAACTTTAAATCAGATTGAGAAATACATACAAGGGCAAAATGTTAGCAGTAGAATTTACTTCCTTACCCAGATACTCTTCCCTTCAAATTTCTATCGTCACCAAGAGAGGGAAAAAACTAGTAAATCTCTAATTCAACTGCTATCTTTGGACATTTTGCTCTGTAAGGACTCTTTCAGCACTTTTTGGTGTTAACTATCATGTGATATACCTAATACAATTGGTTACAATTCAGATAAATGTCATATCGAAAACATTTCCATTACTGCCACATGTCAGGCCTGAGTCCTGGAGTATTATTTAAACAGAACTTAAGTTTTCATTATTTTAACGAGACGACTATCTAAAATTGAAAGAGATGAATTAATCATCGTTTCTCCTTCTAGAATAATGAAAGATTACAAGTTAAAAGAAAAAGATTTTATTCAAAATCTTTCAATTCTGAACTTCCTTTCTGAGCTGTGAGAAATTCTATGACAACTGTATTCTATCTATTTATTAATCAAATTTAGATAGCTTCATATAGTATTCTGTATGCTTTTTCTAATCCAGAAATGCCAAGCCCATTTAGTGTCTTTACAATGTATCTTGTAGATAACTCTTTTTTTTTTCCTGGAGCCCTGCAAAATATCCAAAGTAAACCAAAAGATCAATAGCCCCATAAGAAAAAAGAAAAAACGAGGAGTCACCTACAACAACCAGTGTAAAGACTGTAACACCCACTACATCGGACAAGCATGCAGAACACTAGCAGAATGCATCCATAAACAACAAATAGCAGTCAGAAGACATAATGAAAATTCTTTTATTTCACAACATACGGAGAGACTTTCCCAGACTTCAACTGGGCAACTGGGACCATCCTAGACCAAGTGAAATCCAAAACCACCAATGTGCCTATTGTCCCTGTCCTATCGTTTATTTTTATTTTTCTTATATGTATCCATTTCATGTATTCATAACTATGTTTATACTTATACCTGTTATCTTATAATCACTTGACAAATAAATAAATAAATAAAAAATAAAAAAAAGAATTCCTGCAAGCCTGACATTCTGACAAATTGGCCATCAATAGAAACACAGACATAAACAACATTTACATACTGCGCAAAAGAGACAATCAACAAGCCAAAAAGGGAATAGGAAGACCCAAACACCACCCCACCAGTAATCAACACTCAGATGAGCATAGATTAAGACCAAGATTAACATCAGTCCAACAATCAAGAAGTAAACAATACCCCAATTAAGGAACTACTAAACAAGTTAGCAGTAAGCAGCCCAACCAAAGAATTTCCATGACCTCTCCCACCAACACTGATAGGGCAAGCCACTAGACCATAAATGGAGAGCAAACCCATTCCTTACTAGCATTGATGATGTTACATAGTATGGGTAATGAAATGTCTACAAGAAAACAACCAAGCTCAGAGAACATCAAGGAGTCCTCATTTCAACCTTGAGATACAACTGTTTTTCTTTATCGGTGAATACATACCTTTAACATCATTTGCCTGTTTTTTGGCATCATTAAGAACCTTGAAGCTTTTTTGTAAAGCATTCTTGGCAGCATCCTTTAATGAGCCTTCTGGACCAGATGCCTATAGAAGAAAAGTAACAGAAGCAACTACTTACTGTACTTGAAAAGATTCCAGGAAAAAGAATCAAGAGAAATTGACTGCTTTATTAAAATAGCAGTGCAACATAGTTGGAGAATTATGATAATCGAAAACAAATTTGCTTTGAATTGTTGTTAGATTACTGTAATATATCATACTTGTTTTGTTATTTTGGTTTCATTGTAAAAACAGTTTTCTCTGTTTTTTCATCCCCAGGAAACAGAAAACAGACTTTTACTGGGAAAACAAAATCAAAGTAACACTTATAATTTTATAAAATCTCTCTCTTTCTGTCTCATACCAATAATATATACATCTATTATATATAGTTTTCTTAAGTTTTCACGGGTACTTACATGTATGGTATTCAGCTTGGTTTGGAAATACACACACACACACACACACACACACACACACACACACACACACACATACATATATGTTTCCATAGATTTTCATAGGTACAGGTATGTAGGTCTAGGTGTGTTCGGGTCTTTTCCCGTGTAAGATTAAGAGTATCTTGGCGACGTTTTGGCAAGGTCCCACTCGCCATCCTCAGGCTGGTGCTTTCGGCTTCATGCCACTGCTTCCACTGGCATGAAGCCGAAAGCACCAGCCTGAGGATGGCGAGTGAGACTTTGCCGAAACATCACTAAGATACTCTTAATCTTACACGGGAAAAGACATGAACACACCTAGACCTACACACACACACACACACACACACACACATACACACACACACACACATGTTTTCTTAAGTTTTCGCAGGTATTTATATGTGTGGTATTCAGCTTTGTTTGGGTGTTTTCCCACGTCATTATAGTTGTGCTTTTAAAGTTGTAGTAACATTTCGGCAGAATCTCATCTGCCATCATCAGGCTTCTGCCATCATCAGGCTTCACCAGACGAACCCAATACAGAAGCCTGATGATGGCAGATGAGATTCTGCCTAAACGTTGCTACAACTTTAAAAGCAGAACTATAATGATATGGGAAAACACCCGAACAAAGCTGAATACCATACATATACATACATATATACATATATACACATATACACATATGCATATGCATATGCATATACATATACATATATATATATTTGGTTGGCTGCTCACTAAAATATGCATAAGACCTCCTAAAATTGTGGGGGAGGGGAGCCATTCTACTATGATCATTTCAAACAGGAAAAGTTGTTTTATGGGTGACTCGGAATTGAATAAATTGAGACCCCAAAGTCACTCACACTTTTCTAAATTATTTGATGTAGCTTCCATAGCTTCTCTAATTATTACCATCAAATTGTAATGTTTAATATGACAGTAGAGTGAATTATTAAATTCATGTGAAGTAAATCATATTAACTTAACATTAGCTAATTTAAATGTAGTTATATTTAAATTAAATTAAATCAAAACTACTTTTTGTCCTTGTCCCACCTCTTTTGGAAGTATGTATGGATTATACTAGGTTATCCTTTATGAAGGGGAAGACATGTCACTGGCAAATTAAGGGAAAATAACTGTAATGTGAACAAACCGATACTATAATGGTAAATTGAGCTATATCCTAAGTGAAAGCGATTCTACTCCTAGATGGTATTTAGTAAGTACCCAATTTCTCTTAAAGGAGTAGCACAAGATTCATGTTAAACTTCTTCTAGTAATCATCACTGCTCATTGTCTTATAATTTGTCTATAAAACCATAAAGCACCAACTCAAATTTTCATTTTCAAAAGTCAGGGATGATAAATGAAAACTGGATTATAGTAGATTTTTTAAAATCCAGCTCATAGTCAGGTTTGACCTTTAGGAATGCATTGAAAAAGGATCTACAGAATGATGCTAAACCTTGACAACATGTTTAAATTTGATTGTGGCGGTGATGGTGGACAGGTTAAGATATAGTTGTCTTATATACTATATAGATATAGTAATATTATTCTCCTTTTATGATAAAAAGATAACACTTTATTCCCATTGTTAAAAACTAGCCATGTCAACAATTTGTTTCCGTTTCATGAAATAACCAAACTGTTCTTGAAGAGAGAATTACTGCCAAATTCAGCAATAGAGATTCTTGCTGCATAAGATTATATTTCTTCTATTTTCTCTCCTATGTGATCTAGGAGAGGCATTATCACTAGCAAGGGGCTACATGCAAAGCTGAATATTATTACTAATAAATAAGTGTGAATGCTTAACTGGCTACTAAAAAGTTCATTAGACATAATGAAACTGTTAAGATACCCAATTTGCAATATAAAAAGTGAAAAGTGAGTGTAGTCACAACTAAATAATTGAATTTGGCTTGAGTCTTGAGCAGGACTTTGTGGCTGTGTTATATGTAGTGTAAAATGGTTTCCACAAGATTGAATAGATCAGTAGAAGCTGATAATAATAGATAACTGATTTATCTTGATCATGGGATGAACATTCTAGAGAACTGGGATTAAACAAATAAATTACCCCTGAAAAAAATATGAAATTTGGGTACAGAACGATGTGAAAATTCATATGGCAATGGACTTACTGTAATGTATATTATATTGTGAATTTGCCAATAAAGGCAATATCACAGCAATAGGAGGAAGAAGGCGTGTTGGCTATGCTTGCCTCCTTCAGTTATTTGTAAAAATAATAAAGCTGGAATACAAATAAATAAATATTAAATAAATACAAAATGTGAAAGAAGAGCCAAAAATAAAGGGAAAAGGAAGTATATATGGATGATTTATGTTGATAGTAAATATATATTAGAGTATCAGCTTAGTTTAGTTATGGCAATAAAGAAAATAGCTTAAAGAGAAAAGCCCTATAAATTGATTAATCTGGTTACAAAGACCTTCTTCAAAGGCTTCAAAATCATTTGCAGAAGTCCTTCTCTTGCTCCATCATCAGAGACTTACTTCACATATCAGTTGTAGAAAGAATCACTAAAATTAATCTGGCTAGTGAGATGAGATTTAATAAGGCTAAATAATAATAGTAGTAGTTTGATTATACTTTATTGATGCTTATTGTACTGCAGCTGTTTGTTTAGTAATAAACCTTATTTTAATGCTGTTAACCATAAACAGGTTTTAGATGGTTACACCCAATGCAGCTATTTTATAGAATTCCTGCAAGAAATATTTTGAGTAAAATAGTAGAATCTATTTTATTTTGAAGAGCTTGTTGTGTGTAGAGTAGGGTTCTCAAACTTGAAAAGCTTTAAGACTTGTGGACTTCAACTCCCAGAATTCTTCCTCCTGTCATGTTAGCTCAGGAATTCTGGGAGTTGAAGTCCACAAGTCTTAAACTTGCCAAGTTTGAAGACCCTTGGTATAAAGTAATTAGGTTTAATTTACCAAGATGATTTGGGCCATTGCTTAAGATCTCTTGATGGATGTTTACTAATAGTTGTATTAAACTTTGTAATACACTAACTTATATCAATGAGCATGATAATAATATATGATAAATAATTGCTGAGAAATAGAAGGATAGTATCTAAGCCCTGAAGATGATTATTTGAGAGAGTGGCTTTCATTTAGGTCCTCAAGAGATTTTCTCTTACCAGTTGTATGGCTTCATTGGCACGAGCTTTAGCATCTTTAGAAATTGCATCCGCTTCATCAATATGCTCCTTGATATTGCTGTAGGCCTTAAAAGCTATTGTTGCATTGAAGGAGAGGTTTTTAGCTTCATCAAGGATTCTGTTAGGAAATATATATATATTATACATATATTCAACTTTTAAAATCTCAAGGGGGAATTTTAGATGCTAATTCTAGACCCATATGTATTAATGTCTTTTTGCACATAGGTATTCCCTACAGGAGTCAGCCAGATTTTCTTTTGTTTAGACATGCACAGATTTTCAACTTATAGGTTGCTTCTAGCCAGGAAAAAAACCTCAGCAAAACAAAACAAACCTGACATGATTGAGATAAGGCGACAGAACAAGAATTCTGCAATGTCACATCATGAAACACTCATCTAATGCTAAAGATAATTGATTCTACACTCCAAAGTTTGAAGGACTTAATTTGGTTGGAAATTCTTTCTCTCTCTTATTTTTTTTCTCTATTTATCAAGAACTAAAGTCAGTCTATCTCTTTGGGAAAATTGGGACATTGCTACCTTACAATCATGATAATGGAGTTTCAGGATACCTGTTTAATTGTCAAAAAGAATAAAAGGAGAAGATGTTTCTTCTATTTTCCCAGCTACTGAATTCTAGAGTCAATGAAAGTGAAACAACAATCTTGTCAACTTACCCATCCAAAATAGCAGATGAATCATTCAGCTGGGCAGCATGGGCTTCTGCCTGCAGTACCTTTTCTGGAAGCTTCTTTTTTTTGATATTTCCAGAGAGATTATCTATTTTACCCTTTAGCTCAACAGCAAGTGGGCCTATTTCATTCTTAATATTATCTATGTTCTAAGAAGCAGGAAAAAAAGAAGCATGTTTAAGTAACTGAGCGTTTAAGCACAGAAATTATAGCCCTTTATAACAAGATTATTTTCCTATTATATTGAAATGAATCAATGAGCTTTATCCTCCATTAAAAGAATTTTGACACCTCTGGTTTGGATTTCTAGGTTTAAGATTCTACCTGCTTGGTCTCAAAGCTGAATTGAACTTTTACGGTCCTCTTAACTACACAAACTTAACTAATCAGACCTTATCAGAATATAAAGTGGGATTTGTTAATTAACTGTTATACATAACTGTTATTTCATCAGCACTCTCACCTCAGTCACATTCGAAATGATATTTCTTGGATTTTATTTGCTTAAAGGCATTATGAAAAGTAATTTACCCAATTAGTTATGAGAGGAACCCATTAGCGAAAAAGCACATTTCATTATGCCATCAACTTATGCCTTCAGTTAAAGCATGCTGTGAAATACATTATAATTGATAAAAGTGTTCTTCATGAATTTTCCAGAACCAATTCTCTATGTATTTGTTTCTGATTAGAATCAGAAAGACAAACCAATCTAACATGGAACTGTGAGAACACAGGCTGCCCTCTTTTTAAGGCAGGATGCATTTGCAAGATTGAAGGCTTTCATCAAAATATAATGAGACAAACACAATGAGGTTGCCTGGACATGTTTGTTCCATACTTAAAAGCAAGTCTGAAAAGGGTCATAATGAGGAATAGCATACACAATGAATGTGATTAGAACATCTTGTTTCTCCAGGAAATAAAATGGATTGATTTTTAGGGTAAATACAAAGGCCACTGTCAGGTCCAGTCTAAGTTTGCTTCTTTACTTATTCACACCTTACAGACAGAATCTTGCCAGATTTAACCTATACTACTCTTCAGCCTAACAGATACACCCTGGAAGATTCTAGGGAGTGGGGTTTCCTAAATCCCTTCCTCCTTCTCCAAGCCAACACAGGGCTTTTGTCTCTTCTCTCCTCCTCCTCCTTGGTTTGCTCCCTCCTTCCTGGGAAACTGCCATTTCACTGTAGTCCATCTCCCTGTCAATAGGCACAATCTAGCAAAGCTTTATTAGGTGCCCATGCACTGCCTCCCATGCCCCTGAAGTTGCACTTAGAATGCGTTTGGCACTTTGAAAATCTAATTTGACCTAGTAACATTATTTTCATGTGATAAAGAGAGTAGTTGCCTTCATGCTCCCATACTTAAATGCAAGTCAGAAAAGGCTCATAGTGAGGAATAGCAAACACAATGAATATGATTAGAACATCTTCTCTCTCTAAGAAATAAAATGCATTGTCTTTTAGGGTGGGTACAAAGGCTACTGTCAGGTTCAGTCTGCATTCTTGTCTCATTCCCACTTCAAGTACTCTTCCGATAATATTGCAGAATTATAAACCATGGAACCAAATGATTGGAAGAGAACATTGGACATCATGACCAATCACTTAAATGCCAAATTATCCACAGGTGTCTACATGGAAGGACAAGTGGGGGAAATATGAAACCAACTGTGGGATTTGCATACTTGTGTCTGATGCAGGTACGAAAGTTGAGGCTTGTCTTGTGATATTGTGAAACATTTTTTTCTTCATTGAAATTTGTACCAGATAACCATTGATAACCAAACATTTTTGCAATCAATGAAGGGAAGTTCACTGCTTCCCTAAACAATTGGTTAGTGGCATTATATTCAACTTCCTTCCTCTACAAGGAAAATGCTTCCCTTTCCATGAAGGAAAGTAACAGTTGAATTACATAATCTAATTTGCAAGAGTCATTTTTGACTGATTTTTTTTTTTTTTTGGTATTGAGCATCTGGCATGCTCAGGAAATTAAAGCCATCAGCTTATTTTTTTTCCCACTACTTCATTAAAAACATGCAATTTCCAAAAATATATGCTATGATAATTAATTACTCAAATTCAAATATAAAGGAATCCTGACATTCAAACATGTCATTGTAATCTTTGGAAGAAAATTTTGTTTCTATTGCTCCTCTAATATAACATTTAGCTTGGCCATATCCTCTGTATCTCTACTACTTAGTCCATCTAAAAATTCAAATTATATTTTTATTGCCTACTGATTCTTTTATGTTGCACTGCATTATAGCCTCCACCCTTAAAACATATATCACATTTTACCTCCACAGCCAAATTGATTCCATTTGCAAGTTCATTAGTTTCACCAAGGATGTCATTTCCTTCTCTTAGAGTATTTTCAGTTTCCTGTCGTCCGTTTTCTATACCTTGCTTCTTTTTCTATATGGAGAATATAGAAACACTTGTGATTTTACACATTAATAAAACATCACATTCCCATTTTTATTATTTCAACTAGTGCTGTGCCGATGTGTGTATGTGTATGTATGTATGTATGTATGTATATAAATCTGCATGGACCAATGCACCTTTTTGTCATTAAATCCTTAACCAGTCCTTATATGAAAATAAAGAAATGTATGAATTCAAGTTATACTTTATGATAAAATATATAACTATATAATTTTTGTAAAGTTTACCAGGTTTTAGAAGATTAAAGTGAGGGATGAATTAAAAAAATAAAGTTTAAGTCTCCAGAAGTCAAGCTTGACTTGAAGGAGACTCTACTTTCATAAATGACATCAACAGGGACAAAGGTGAATCTTTTCAATGGTTATTCTCCTTCTCTGGAACAGCCTTCCCTTTGAAGTCCAAGCAACCCCAATGCTGATAAGCTTCAAAGAGGTCATGAAACTATGTGTGCTTTAGCTGACCTTGGCAACTGATGTGTGATGAGGTTGTCACCTCTTATTGTGGAACATTTCATTTAATAGAACTTTCATTATGCCCCAGTTCATTAGGAATGTTGTTATTTGTTATGTTGATTTCTATTCCATTCTTATTTATATACCCTTTTAATGGTTGTGGGATATGCAAGCAATTTAGAGGTGGAAGCAGCATTAGAAACCCAGAAAATTAAAAAAAACAGACCTTCTACAATGTTTCCTATTACAAAAACACTTCATCAGAAAGCTAATGATGCTAAAGGAAATTTACTTGCCAAACACATAAGTATTTTATTTACAGCCTGTATATTGACAAAGCAGATGTCAATGGGGGCTGATGTTCATGATCCCATTTCTAAACCTTGTCAACTTATTCTAAGCAGCCCATACTGATGGACCAAGGTCAGTAAAGCCTTACAGACATTACCTTATTCAGAGCAATTAATTTCCAGGGGAAAAATCTCTGCCTGGCCTTTCCTGCTTCTTGTTTATTGACTAAACCTTGATACTACCCAGCTTTGGCCATGACTCTGCCATATTCCTTTGATTTTTGACTAAATATTGTAAATGATCCATTGAAATTGGGCACAATTATCTCTGGACTGATTTGCATTTAATTAGATATGAATACATATTGGACAATTTGAAAATGACATGGAAGAACTGCTTTAGATATAATTCAGGCTTCCAGGCTATTTTAAGACATGCATTATAGATACATTTTTAAATGTTTCAATTTATTAAAGTAGTAATATCCTTTTTCAGGTTGAGGCTGAAGCCCGAAAGAAAAACAGCATGCTTTAGTAAACAGCAGAGAAGGGATTTGTTTGTACAAAATCTAAAGTAATTCTTCCAAATAATTTCTAAACAGTGTTAAGTCTTAATCGCCCCAAGTTTAATATAGTTCTTCAAGATGAAGGAAAAAAAGAAATTCCTGCAGATTTTATACATACAAGTACTACCATCAAAAACAATCCCCCAAACAACAAAAGTATAGAGTCATGATTGGAAACATGGTGTCATGACCTTTGATAAAAAGTACTCCAGAAATCTAAATAATAAAATAAATACTTTGCTTTGAGTGGAATCATATAAATTCAAATAAAACAAAAGTTTCTACACATTTGTGTGCTATGTGTATGTATGCATTTAAATGTACCAAAAGTCAGACCCCAAAGACAAATTCTAGTATACGTTATATTCAGACTGGTTGCTATTTTCTTTTAAACACTTCCTCATTTGACATATGATTTTTGAATATTCCTAAGTACAATAACATTTTTTCTGAAAAAAATAATTAAATATATTGGGATTAACCTATGAACCTAACTTTGGCACACCCTCTATATCAGCAGTTGCCAACCAGTGGGCCATGAGAAAATTTTGGTGGGCTGCAGCATGCTGAGGCAGGGTGGCGGGGCAATCCTGCAGTCTCCTGTGTCATGGCTGCTGCCACCTGCCTCAGCGCATCAAGGAGGCTGAGCAGCAGTAGGAAGAGTTTGGATCTCCTGAGCCGCAGGAAGCAACTGCCCTCAGGTGAAGATGTTGTGAAGGGGAGGCTTGATCCCCCTTTCCTCCTCGCCAGAAGCTCTCACACGTTTAGTGGGAAGGAAGCGGTTTGTTGGGGGCCAGAGGGGCGGTGAGCACTTTGCGCCTGAGTGCTTCTGTCGAGGAGGAAGAGAAGCTTTTGGTGGGGGTCGACCCTGCCCCTTGCAACATCTTCCCTTGAGGGCATAGCTGGCAGCTGCTCAACCTCCTCAATGAGCGGAAGAAAGAGACAGGAGGTGACACCAATTCAGAGGATCCTTTCCCCTCACCCCCACCCCCTTGCAGGCCAGGCCTATGTGTTGGCGTCAGTTTCCTCATCCGTCTCGGCGCTCTGCTCTGCTGCCCGCCCCCCCAAAGGCCCCAGCCATCAGTGCCTGGGGAAAGCACAGGAAAAGCTAGCAGAAACATGGTGTGAAAGAGCTGAGATTGAGGAAGCACAGGCAAGAGAAGATGGAAGCTGCTGCCTTTGAAAAGCGCTGCTTTCTGTTGTCTGTGCCTTCTGATCTCTGTTCTTTTGCCCCAGTGAGAGCTGTTTCTGATTGCTTTCTTTTCCTGGGGAGGGGGCAGCAGAGACATCAGGGCTGCTCTCCCCACTCAGCAAGCCAGGCCTGGAGGAATGCGAAGAATTGTGGGTGAGCACCAGAGAAAGATGTGTTGGAAATGCCAACACACATTTCCAGCATGCTTTCCTCTGTCCCGAAATAGGATTGAGTGGTGGGAAGGGAGCAGGGAGAAGAGTAGGAGGGAAGGAAAGGTCCGGATGGCTTTCCTTTGCCATGGGGATGGGGGGAGACTAAATTCACAGACCAAAAGAGTGCCAAGGAAGATGGGCTCCTAATAACCAGCCTGTTTGTGCAGGTGAGAGCTTGAGCTTTTCTAGGCTCGACAGTCCCCCGCTTTGGCCTCCACACAGGGAGGGGTCCTTCTCTGCTTGGAAGCAGCGGGAGAGACCTGGAGCTTAGCCGTGGGGAGTCCTCTTCTTATGTGAAGGCCAAATGGGGGGTGTTGCCTGGTTATTAGGAGCCTGTCTTCATTAGCACTTCCAGCCCGGCCCTACTTCCCTCCCCCAACTTCAGGCAGCCACACCTGGCAAAGGAGGTAGAGGTTTCCTCTGACTTGCGGGGGGGGATATGAGATGGCTCTGCTTTTCTTCCGTTTGATGGGGAGCCGGTTCCTCCCCATCCAGCTCTTCCCAGCCTCCAGGTACCATGTGGCTTCTTAAATCCTCCCTCTCTTCCACAAAGGATGACAGAGAGAGGCCCCTCCTTTCCTTTCACTCCATCCCATAGTTATGATTAAGCATTTATGATTTTGTTATAATTAAATAAGCATTTTTATATTATATGTGCGTGTGTATAAATTAATTTTTAAATATTAAATTTATATTTAATATAAAAATAAAATTTTTACATTAAATATATTATCTTTTTTTAAAAATTCGTATTAGTGGTCCTCGGGATCTAAAAGTATGAGTTCGATGGTCCCTGAGGTCGAAAAGATTGGCGACCCCTACTCTATATAGTATCTCTCTTCTCTCTCTCTCTCCCCCTCCCTCCTTCCCTTCCTCCCTCCCTCTCTCTCTCTGATTGGTATCTGTAACAATAGTATTTTCCTCTTCCTACTTTAAGAGCTCACTGAGAAGCAATACTACCCTTTAGACTGTTAGCCCATGTAGCCTGAAAACATATTTATGGAACCTGCTACCATTGGATTAATATTTGCCTTCAGGCAAAACATGAGTGAGACATAAACAAAAAACTGAACACATTTATCTTTGTTTGAGGTTGACTTTGCTCTTACTGTCATGGCTAAGCATTTGTTAATGTACAATATAATGTTCTTTCAAGTCATGGCAATTAAATTCAAATCAAGGAAAATCATTTACATCACTTAACTACAAAAGATATATGATGGTTTGATTTATAATGTGAATTTGCATATACTGTACCCATTTTAATTCCTTACTTGAGAACACGAGAGAAAAGAAAGTGTAGCCATACTAATATTGAAGATTAACTGTCTCTCCCTATGTGCATGTGAATACAATATGAACATACAATGTGAAGTAATGGCTATACAGGCTTTAAGGGGTTTCGTTTATTTGAATCACTATACATTATATGTGTTATATATTAACCATGAAGTAGTCACTAGAGTTTCTTTCCATTTTCTTCCCATTTCAATAACAATTTTGCTGCTGTAACTTACTCCAAATAGTACTTTAAATAATATATCAAAGATTTCACCAAGTTATATCCATAGTATTTTGGCTTTATTTTTAACTGGGAAATAAAGCTCCTTATCTTGTTTAGTTCACCTCTGATTCAGAGGTGGTATTCAGCGGGTTCTGACCAGTTCTGGAGAACCGGTAGAAGAAATTTTGAGTAGTTCGGAGAACCGGCAAATACCATCTCTGTTTGGAGATTTTACAGTATCCTTCCCCTGACATGCCCACCAAGTCACGCCCACAGAACTGGTAGTACAATAAATTGAATCTCACCACTGCTCCGATTGATCATACATGGAAAAGGGACTTTATGACCAAATACCCACCTCTACTGCCGTCAAGTTTTTTTGGTTGATTGCTGATAGTCTGTCTGCTTCCCAAATTTTATTAGTTGCTTCTCTTAACAGGTTCAGAGCATCATCAATTTTATCATGGTAGTCTGCTAGTTTCTCTTTGACTTCGTTTTTCAGGTCCTCAGTTTTCTTCTTTGGCTCTACAAATAACTTGTGCATGTTCTTCAAGAGGTCTTCTGCTGACCTACAGTCACACAACAAACAATGTTGAATAACAGATCTCACATTCTGTTCATTCTGTCGCCTTCTGATAGGTGTTTAAAAATGGACTTAGTTTGTGCAGCTATCCATTCGGACATATTTCTATTCATGATATTGCTTTGCAATATTTATGGGTTTTAGCAGGTAGTAAACAGCTCCTTAGCCCATCTCTTGCTGACAGATTCAGGCATAACATCATTAATAGTCAAGGTAGAAATATATGCACTGGATTTAATTGGATCTTGAATAGTGAATCAATAGTGAATCAGAAAGAAAGAAGTTGATACAGAAAGAAGTTGTAAACATCAAGCTCAAAGCAGAGATTTTTTGAAGTAGACTAATCTCAACCCTTGGGCTCCTTGGTGATTCACAGAAGCAGAAAGTCATTTCACCTGCAAAACTCTGCATTTCTGCTGAAATTCCCTGACTGATGGATCTAGTTCCAATTTTCAGTGGCCAATTTCACCAGGCACTCTCTAAACTAGTACCGTACTTTTATCTATGTGGTTTTAAAAAGGAGCCTTTCATAGAGGTGATCAAAGCTGTTTGTTCCTCGAGCCTCATGGTTCCAAAATTTATCCCTAAATTCATTTTTGAGGTAATAGTTGTAAATATAACATAATTCAGGATAAAAATAACTCCAAGAAAACTCTGGTTAGATTTTTTTTTAAATTAATAAAGCTGTACAAAATAGATAGAATCTGGGGATGTTAAGGACTCAATAACATTGATTCAACACACACACACACACACACACACACACAGAGAGAGAGAGAGAGAGAGAGAGAGAGAGAGAAAGAAAGAGAGGAGAGCGCGAGCCAATTTTTCTCTCTCTCTATTCAATTTCTGCAACCATTCTTCATGTTTTAGTCTCTGTCTGTCATATATATTACTGATACACACACTCTCTCTCACACACACATCAGTAATATACTGATATAGCTGTAACCACTTATAGCTATTCTCACACAGACATAAACCTTTTTATTATTATTCCTATTTTTGTTCTTTATTTGAAGTCTTAAGCTGCCACTGAAATTTCAATTTCTCCCAAATCTGAAAGGAAATTTAATTACAGGCATAATAAGATCAACTATTATTTCATTTATATTTTCCCGTTTACCACTTACTCTAATTCATCTTGAGCTACTGCCTTTTGCAATTCCAATTTTCTCTTCCTAAGTTCTGCCATCATTTTGTCAACTTCACTCTGTAATTCTTGAAAGCTTTTGTCAAGTGCCTTCTCTGGGATCCCAAGAGTCTCATTCAGTTTTGAAGCAGCATCATTTACACCTGCAAAAAGATGGCAAATTATGAATGTCAACCAAATGTAAACAGATAATGTTTAGCACGTTCATTTAATTTTATTTCATTTATTGAAATGTTCTTATGATATTCCTCCTGCATGGGAATGGAAATATATCCTGTTACTCCAATAATAAATAATAATAAATAAATAGACAGCAGGATTGGACATCATGTTTCATAGGGGACCATAATCTATTTGTACAACCCAAATCAATCAGAATAGAGCTGGAAGGGACCTTGATGGTCTTCTAGTCCAACCCCATGGTCAAATAGAAGACCCTATACCCTATTTCAGACAATGTTACATAATGTGCACAAAGTACTTTATTCAGCATTTCTGGAAAAGAATCACATCTCAATTCTAAGAATGATATCAAGTTTACAATAAAAATTATATCTGTCTGGTCTTCTTTATTTAGTATGTTTTATAATGCCCAAATATTGCTTAATACCTTCTAATTACTATTCCCAATTGCATTCTGAAGTTCATGGAATCAAATTCCTTTTAGGGATATAATTTGCTGAGTCTCAAGATGCATGTATATCTATCCATTTGCAAGCAGATGTTCGTTTCCAGCAAGAAATAATGTATTTTAAAGCCATTTTGAGAAATTAAAAATGTACTCTTAATGCACCTTGTAGAGTACTAAAACTACACGGTGCTTTTTTTCTTCTCCTCTTAAATGAAAATTTCACTGAGTTGAAAATAAACAACAGCAAAGCAGAACTTACCCATTAGTTATTTAATCATAATAGCTATTCTTCTAGACTAAAAATGTTCCTGAAGGAGAACATTTAATTTCTGCTGTTCTGTGGTCGTAATTGCCAATTTACCAACAAACTACCCTCTTTAGATTGCAGGAAGCCTGCAATTATTTGCCTATAGTTGCTGTAGTTTAACACAAAAGTCCAATATTTTAATCAACCCATCCTCTCATTTTATAAAACTCTTGTTCAATGTCTTATATAATTATCCTTAAAAATGTGCTACTTTCCTTTCCTCGAGAAACCATTGGCATTTTCCCTTTCTTACCTTCTGCAGCCTGGAGGGTGACTTTGATGAGCTGTCCAAGCGACTTCGCTCTCTCATTAGTTGTCTTAGCATCCTGTCCAGTTTGTTCCCCATCTGCTGTCACCTTGGTCGCCTGGCAATACAGATTAAAGAAAAGTGTAATTAATGAACATGACAAGGAGATACTCCATCTGTCTGAATATACTTGGAAACCTTTCCTCAAGCAAAAAGAGATCAATGAATTATTGATCAGATATACTGGAAGTGACATATACTCTTCCCAAGTACACAATTATATTTTATAACCACTTCTATAATTAAGGCTCCATTTTTCATTTCTTGGAGAACATGTTGGAAAAAATAGGACACAAAGGAATTCTGGACAAAAAAAAATGGTTTTATTCCCACTCTTAAATATGTAAGACCCTACGTCTGATGAAAATATTGGTGTCCCAATTGAAATAATGGATCTCTTAGGATTTTATCAGGCACTTCAGTCCTATTGATTTTAGTGTTACATAGCACTTAGTTAACAATACTTAAGCAGCACTTCTGAGTATAGTTTTAATGAACAATTCATAATTTGTTTATATGGCTACACTGTAGGAGATGACCAAGCTAAGCCTGAGGGTGGGGTCAAACACACCATCAGTTCAGAATCTCTACACCCCATAAGAGACTTGGGTCTGCCCCCACTTGAAGTGTGTTGGTTCTTATTTGACACAAATTTCCTTGACCATTAGTAGTTCAGATTCTTGTATGGTAAGTATTTCCTTGTCCACTCCAGAGCACAGTGCTCATCTCCATTTCTTGACTGAGGGACAAGGGAACCAGCATTATCCAAGGACATTTTCCATTGTCATGTGGCCAGCATGGCTATACACTAAAGGTGGAGTGAATTCTGTTATATAGGTAGCATGAAAGAAACTTACGGGACTTTTGAACTCCATCTTGGTTCCTGACTTCTTGCATCTGACATATACCCACATGTTTATCAACAGCAAACCCTCCTACTGTGCAATATAAATCAGAGTTCTAAATACATCCTTTGTGGGACAGATCAAAAATAGTAATTCACATTTCCCCCATTCTCCTTTCATTATCTTATTGCTAGAGAAGTAAATAAATCTCGGATATGTTGAAACTACAACTACAAATCTTGGATATGTTGAAACTGGAAGTTAAGACCTCAATATCCAGTGGGTCTAATTTGTCAGGTATATTGGAAAGAATATAGGTACAAAACAAAACACTGTCTGGGGAGATTGTTTTGCTATTGTTCATATCATAGATATCCAACCAGTTAAAAATATGGAAATAAAATGATATTGAAATTATACCATATTATTGAGATTCTGAGCTTTCAATGAATGTTGGTTTCCAGTAGTAAAGAGAACATTAACATGAGAAACTGTAAAGTGAAACACATTACTTTATATGCCTAGAGACCCCTTGACCTCTGTAATATCTTGCTGAATGAGCGGGGCGGGGAGCTTAAAACTTTTCTACATGATCAGACAGAACTCTGGGAAGAAGGAAATAGGTAAGATTCTCCTTTCCACTAGCCAATACAATACAAATCTACTGATCTAGGAAACCTCATTGGCTGGCTTCACATTAATAATGTGGCCCCTTGTTTATTAAGTAAACCATATCCTACTGGCTTTACATAACACATTAGATCCAAACTGAACACCTTTTGTCTTAATATAATGTATAAATACAGTGATATAGAAATTAGCCCAATATATTTTATTCCTGGTGTGTGGAATCCATTATAAGCTAATATAGATTGGTAAATTGTCAATTAGTTACATTATAAATTTACTTACCCAAATTAATTATTAAAATAGGTTTAAGGATTTTTTTTACTACAATGAAATTTAACAAAAAAGATAAAAACAATACAATACAATATTACAAACAAAACAATATTGGTTGCTTTTGGAAACACAAATGGCACCAACTGTAAGTTACCACATCTAGACAAAAAAAATCTGACCATTAAGCAGTAACAAAGAGAGACAAAAACTCTTATCTCTTTTCTAGTGGCTGTGTGGATTTTTGTTATTTAAATCTTCAAATAGCATAGTTCTAGTATTTTCTGTCCAAACAAACATGGGGAGATAGTATATGGAAGAAAGAACTAACATTTTATTCTCTGAAGATCCATTCTATCAAAATTGGTTTCTATTTTTGTGTTGTGCATCATTTATCATCATTATTTTTTTTAGCTCCTGAAATTTTCTTCAACCAAAGAATTGGGCAGTTGACCCACACTTCATCTTAAGACACTGAACAAGCTGATTTTTTCAAATTAATAGCATTGTTTTCTTTAATCTATTATTTGTTTCTGTTAGTTTTCTAACATGCTCCCTAATGAAGAGATTACTTGGACAATTTTTAATGCACAGATTAAATATATTGTCCAATATGGATTTTGAGTTTGTCCGGCAAACATCCAAATTTCATCAATGTGGGGTCAGTTCTTCAGTTTCTCTTTTTTAAATCACTAGGTGGCAGACTTTCTATGGATATAATTCTCTACCTGATAAGTAACAAAAAATCCAGTTTCTGTAGTTTGTAGTTTTTATTAATGAAAAGAATAACCAACAGGAGAGGTGCCATCTCAGGAGGATTTTACTTCCAGAAAACAAAGGTTTTAATAACAGACTTTTCACCCCTCTTTTCTAAATGAGGTTTGCTTGATAGGATCTAAATCACAAGTGAGATTTGATTTTGATGCAGGATTTGCTCTCTCTCTTGCTGTGTGCCTCTGTTGGGTTACAAATTAAAATTTATTATTTCTTTGCACTTCCTTTTTAAAGAAATGGTATTACAAATTAAAAAACTTAAAACATGCTAAAAGTAAGCCCCTTTTCTATGTTTTATTTTAGTAGTTTATAATTTAAATAAAATATGTAGGAGGAGCTAAATAAGAGTGCAACTGACATATTGCCATCGTTTATTTTAATTTGCTGACTGTTGACAGAATTTTTGTCCACAGAGATATAAAAATAGCCAATACCTTCATTATAAAAGGAAGGCTCAAGAAAAAAGCCTATTAATTTAAAAAGCCAATGTTACCTGGCACAGTAAGCTAGCATCTCCAGAATCCTGGCCTTATCCCCCATGCGATGCGACTTCTAAAGCAAACATTCCAGCTGCTTTAATTATTTGAAAACTGGTCCTTTGCATTCCAAAGTACATCTTTCGAAAGAGATGCATAGTCCTAGGGGTTTCATTCCACAGAAAATATTATAGGAAGGAAATACGCTTTGAGTATTTTCTTTTTTGATTATGCCATTACCAGGAGGAATACCAGAGCCAAGAGCATTTTAGCACTGGGCCGTTTCACACGGGGCTTTTGAGCTGTCCACAAAATCCATTTTGGAGCTATGTGATCCCACATCATTTCAGCATTCAGCCATTGTATAGATTAATTTCTAGTTCAACTAACTGGCATTTCCAGCTTCTTGGTGGGAACTTTAGACAAACCCTATTTCCCATCTCTTGGGTTTCAGCCAACATAATATTTTGTTTGTGGCTCTTGAAGAGGGAAAGATGGTTTCAGTGAATTCACAAATCCTCTTGCAACAACTCATTTTTTAAAAAATAGTCGGACAAATTCATATTGCTTCCTTTAAAACACAGCAAGTATTGAGGTGAGCTGATTTGGCTGGTGAGAAACTGAAATGAAATTGATAAGAATCTGTCTTTTGTGCCTTGAACCATGTTGGTGCAATTGTTAGAATGCATTGCTGCAGGCAACTTCTATTGACTGCTGGCTGCCAGCAGTTTGGCAGTTTGAGTCCCATCGCCTTCCAAAGTAATTAAAATGAGGACCCAGATTGTAGGGGGCAATATGCTGTAAACTGCTTAGAAAGGGCTGCAAAGCTCTGTGAAGCAGTATATAAATCTAAGTGCTATTGGTATTGCTTGTCTTTTGGCAGGGATCCGCCCAATTGTTGTTTGGGGCTCTTCCATGCCCCAAACTGCATTTGGATGGTATAGAGATGAGTTTGTGTGCTTGTAATTTATTTATTTTCTTTTTCTGGAAAACTGGGGATGAAGAGGTTTTTTTAGTTGCTCTAAGACAATTTATTTCTCCTCCACCTTGCCTATTGACAATTTCAGCTATTCTTTACATGCCAGCATAGGCTGTAATCATTGGTTGGAATGTTCTCGCCTGTAACCATGGATACAGCAAATGGGAAATATGTTTGGTTGGAAAATAAGCTGCCTTTTAATTTATCTCATCCAAGTTGCTTCCCCACACAGAAAGAATTAAAAAAGAAAAAAGACATATTTAAGTATTCATGTATTAACTGCAGTTAGAATAGTATTTGCTCAAAACTGGAAAAATGAAAAGTTTCCGATAGAAGGGAACATGATCAGGAATAGAATGTGGAGAAATGAATAGATTAACACTGGCAATTAAAGAAAAAGAACAAACTGAATATTATATGATATGGGAATTATTCTATCAGTGGTTGGAGAAGAAAAATGAAAATTAGAAATTGAATATATCAACATAGAAGATATCTACATAGAACATAAACGAACATATGAATATAGAGGGGAAGGGGATGGTTACAACAATAAGATATATTATGTATAGTAGTTCAAAATAAGAATGTAATATAATTATTGTTGTTATGGTAAGGAATTTAAATTAACCATAAATAATATGGCACAAGATATTTGTACCCAGATGACACACTGTTTAAAGAAAAGATGGAATGCTTGTAAAAAATAAAATAAGTACTTTTTTAAAAAAAGAAAAGAAAACCAGGCTGTAACCAACCAGCTGAAAACTTCATCACTATCAGAAAAGAGACCACAAACCTTTCTTCAAAGAAAGGCTGGGAGGAATAAATCATAGAATACAGAATAGACCTGAATGTGCTGAGATATCAGATATGCTGGTTCTGTTGAAAACAGTTGACTTGCTGAGGAGATCCCTGCACCTATAAATATTTCATCTCAATAAACAAATAAAACTGAGAGGACCATGCTTGGAATAGAGTGGGTTTTGAACCAGGCAGTTGCCAAATAGCTTTATTCCTTTTTGCAACTACTGAGAACTAGATGCTTTTAAAAACAGAGGTTGATAAGTTGGTGCCTTTGCATCTATTCACTTGAGCAATTTGTTATTTATTTATTTGATTGGTCAATCACTTACAAGATTATAAGTATAAACATGAGTAAGAATACAGGAAATAGGTATGAATAAATGGGGACAATAGGACAGGGACGGTAGGCACGATGGTGCACTTATGCACGCCCCTAACAGACCTGTTAGGAATGGGGTGAGGTCAATAGTGGATAGTTTGAGGTTAAAGAAGTGGGGGTTAGAGGATGTAACAACAGAGTTCAGTTACATGTTGTAAACAAGACAAATGTACAGAGTGTATTTTAGAAATGTGGATGGGGACTTTTGCTGTTCCAATGTCATCCTGATCAAGTTGTTATTATTATTATTATTATCATTGTCATCATCATCATCATATCTTTTGTATTGATCAGCTGGAGCAGAATACTGATTAGCTGAAAACATTCCCTTCATTTTGAAGTTTGATTCCACATCTTGCTTTATACGTAATTTGAATGGATGGATTAGTAGAAAGATATGGTGCTGGCTAATTCATCAAATTTTTTAATTTTATAAATGTTTTCTTCTGATCTGTAGAACAGCTTCCAATGCTACTACCAGAAGTCTTTGTTAAATGGGAGTAGCCTAGGGTTTCTCAAGTAGGTGGCACAGAAATGCAGGTAATGAATCCATCAATCACTCCATTAGAAAAGATCATATCAACAATGTCCTGTGTCTTTCTTCTTGCATACAGAAATTACAAAGTACAGATGGAATCCTGGCACCCATGTGGCTCCATGACTTTATCTCACTCAAGCTGAGAAAGAGTCACGAGATCCCATTATTTTAAATGAATTCAGAATGCATTTATTTGCTACTTGCTTGTCAAACTCACCCTTGTCAGCAGTTCATCCATTTCTACCACAAGAGTATCTAAATTCTTCTGTGCCAAATTAAGAACTCTTTCTGGTGCTTGCTGAGGTGACAATAAATGCTGAGGAGAAAAAAAAAAACATTTACATTGTGGGTCCAATACTACTAGTAGAAAAATGCATGCTTTCCATCCTGGTGAATGAAGCTGCATCTTAATCTCAGTTACTGTAATGGTGTATATAAAAATAATTTATAGAATATCTTTATGTAGAAGAAAAAACATACATGTATATGGCTAAATCTACAACTATTAAATATGTAAAGTGCCTGCTTAAAGATATTACATGTTAGAAAGGATATGTAGGAGATGGCCAGGTTGAGTTGAGGGAAAGGTTAAACACAGTCATAAGTCCCTGCACATCCACAAGAGATCTAAGTCTAGCCCACTTTGAATTTCCCTTGACCCTTAATAGCTCAGATTCTTGTAGAAAGTTTAAGATTGCATTAAATCTTTATAATTTGAACTGCCTGACTCTTCTGACTTCCACAGTGCTTGACAGGTTGTTTTATGCTAGAAATTCTATTTAAATATAGCCCCACAGACCAAACAAAGTATACCATCACCATGTGCTTTACTGCTTAACTGTTTAACTGTAACAGGAAACAGGAAACTCTACTCAGAACAAAAGAACATAAAGTGTATACTTATTCTGACCCAGCTGAAGTTTCCAAAAACAAGCACAGATAAACTCCAAAACTGAAAGATTTACAGCTTTATTCCACAAATAACCCTCTTTGTAGATAACAGATGGCTTGCAACCAATTAGTCCAATAAATTGGAGCCTGTAATCATCACACCACTTCTTCAAACGTTTGCCTTTTGCAAAGGCAAAAGCCATTTGAAACCAGGCATTTTATTCCCTAGAGGGAGGGGCCATTAATTAGCATTCTTACTCCCAAGTTGCCTGTGCTGCTCTTCCATGAATCATCCTGCTCTCACTCACACCCAGCACAGGCTTCTCAGGAACTTCCTCCTGATTACTGCCAGCGAACCACAACACTATCCCTCTAGCCCTTCCCCGGGGTCTGACAGTTTGAATGTGGCTGAGATGGGAATCGAATGAGAAAAACTTTCACTGAATCTGGGGCATGGATGGAAGTTGCATCCTTCCATGTAAATGCCTCCATTCTGTATCCTTTCCATTCAATCAGGTAGTGAAATTGCCCTTTTAACCATCGAGAGTCTTGAATACTGGCAATCTTGTATTCGAATGAATTGTCTCCATCACATGGTGCTGGCAGGGAAGGGTCAGGTTGGTGGAGCAGACAGGCCAGTCATTCGAGAACCAAAAGGGAGCGATGGAACACCGGATGGACCCATAATAAATGAGGCAATTTCAGACTGTAGGTGACTGGGTTGACCATCATCTCTACAGGGAATGGGCCAAGGTACTGATGGTCAAGCTTTCTCACTGGCCAGTCTAATGGAAGATGCCGGGTAGACAACCACACCCGATCCCCCACAGTCAATGGCAGCAGCGCTCTCCAAGAACGGACCACTACTCGCTTATAATCTGCCTTAGCCTTCGGGCATCGCATGCAAGATTTTACATAAGACTGCACATCGTGTCGTAATCGGAACCACCAGTAAGTCCGAGACACAAGGTGCAATATCTTGAACAGGCCAAAATGCCCTGCCACAGGATTGTTGTGGCACTGCGACAAGATAAGACCCTGAAGTGGCTCTGCCAGGACATAGAGTTTGTTGCGGTAGCGCAAGAGTTCCTCTTCAAATGACCACAGTGAGTTGGGTCCTACTTCTTGCCTCCACTGATCTGCCCAAGCATTGTGCCGCTGCGCCTCCCAAATCTCCATCCATAAAGCCACTGGCTCCTGCACAGTGAAGAATGATTCTACTGGCCGTCCCATCTGGAGTGGAAGTTGATCTTCTGGACGCAGATACTCAGGCTTTTCCACAACAAATGGATGATATGTATCAGCATGCCTCAAAGCTTGCTGCTCACTGAACCCATCTGTAAAATCCTGGAGTTCCGAAGGCACAGACACCTCGGGTGAACTCATTATCATCCCTGCACAGATGCGACAGGTGTGGTCCATGCACTGCAGGCTCAGGAACGTGATCATATTCTGGAACCAATAGATTTGGGGGTCATGAGACCAAAGCCACGCCAAACCTAAAACCACAGGGAGCTGCAATCCAGAAGCGAGGTAAAACTGAATCACCTCCTCATGCACACCAATAGTCAAATACAAGGGTTGGGTGGTGGCCTTGATAGGCCCAGACACAACCATCCGGCCATCAATGGTTTCAACCTGCAGAGGAGGGTCAACAGAGCACTGGGGAATTGCATACTTTTCTGCAAAGGCCACCATGAAGTTCATGGTGGTGCCGGAATCCACCAGAGCATGCACTGGAATCTCCTGAGAACTATTGGCCAGGAACACTTTGGTCACCAGGATCAAATTCCGAGATGGTCCGGAATCCACTTCTGAAGGACATGATTCAAATCCTGCGTGTACCCGATCCAAGGATTTCTGGGTTTGGGGAGAAGGTACAGGAACCGAACAAGTTTGCTGGGTCCGAGAAGCAGGCCTTGGGGATGACACCCTTTGTTGCTTCTTGGGACATGAAGCGGCCCAATGTCCAGGTTCCCCATAGTAGAGACACAACCCCTTGACATGCCATCTATTGTGCTCCATCACCGACAAGCAGGGTCTGGCGGCGCCTAAATCCATGGGCTCCTCCTGTGGGAAAGAGATTTTATGCACAACAGGGGCCACAGGAGGTGCTCGGGAAGCACAACAATGGTTCCACCTCTGCAGGTGGGCGTCAATCCTCAGGCACAGGTGAATCAATTCAGTGAGGGTCACAGGACAGTCCACTTACACCAGGTCATCCTGCAGCTCATCCACCAGCCCGTCTTGGAACATGTCCATAAGTGCTGCCTCATTCCAAGCCAAATCCTGGCTAAGCAGCCGGAACTCGCTCACATACTCCTGCAAGGATTGCTGGCCCTGCTGCAAGTCTTTCACATGATGAGCAGCAGTCTGGGTCTTACTAGGGTCCTCATACATTACCCTCAGATGTTCACAAAACCCCCAGAAGTCATTCAGCAGAGCACTATCTTGCACCAGCAAGGGTGTGGCCCAGCATGCTGCAGAGCCAGAGAGCAGGCCAATTACAAAACCCACCTTATCCCGGTCAGAGGGGAAGTCCTCAGCTCTCAAGCTAATGAATAGCTGGCACTGTCGCCAAAAAGCTGGAAACATATCTTGGTTACCTTCAAACCTGTCTGTCAAAGCAACTAGGCATTTTCTTCAACGAGGGAGAGGAGGAGGTGGAGCAGCAAGAGCCTGAAGTTGTCCTACCCGTGTAGCTAACATAGCCAGCTGTTGCTGCAGCAAAGCATTCTCAGCTGATCCATCTCTTAAGAAAAATAAATTTCGTCTTGGCAAAAGGCGAACTGTTCTGATCCAGCTGAAGTTTCCGAAAGCAAACACAGATAAACTCCAAAACTGAAATGTTCACGGCTTTATTCCACAAATAACCCTCTTTATAGATAACAGATGGCTTGCAGCCAATTAGTCCAATAAATCAGAGTCTGTAATCATCACACCAACTCCTTTGAACTTTTGCCTTTTGCATTCTTACTCCCGAGTCGCCTGCGCTACTCTTCCATGAATCATCCTGCTCTCACTCACACCCAGCACAGGCTTCTCGGGAATATCCTCCTGACTGCTGCCACGAACCACAACAATACCATAAATCTAAACTTGTAAACACTGCCACCTGCTGGCTGAATGCTGCTGTTGTTGTTGCAGAAAAATACAGTCCAACAATAAATTCCAACATTTTACAATACCTCTATGCTTTGTTTATACTATTCTTTTCTTCAATCAGGCATTGAAAAATCAATCATAATGATAATGGTTAAAACAATTAAACCATTAAGCCATGTTTTGCTAAAACCTAAGCATAATAACATATGTTGTTTAAAATAATGCTACTATGTGAGATCCAAACCACGTTGATGGACTTGATTATACCTTTAATTCTTGGGTTGTGTTTTCAAAAGAATAAAGCATTTTATATGGTGGATAAAGTGGTCCACTAAGATTAACACTTAGAGTCATCTGATTTAATTGATCCAAGTCACGAAGAAGGACACCAGTGCACTCATCATCGCAAGCTGGGGGAAAAGACAATAAAAAATATTTATTTCTGTTCAACATCTGAGGCAAATACTTCTTATTTCAACTGAGAAACATTTTATAGTATACATAAAATTCTCCAAAATATAAGGCCACTAACATTCAGTAACTGGTTCCTAAACATTCATGGAGCAATAAAAGGTGGAGAAACAAAGATGTCTCTAGTAGATTGAATAAATAGATATAAAATTGTCCAGATCTAGTGAGAAGGCCAATGTGACATAAAATACTCTTTAGATAAGAGTTCAATATACAATTTTTAGAATAACAAACACAAATCACATTGCACAGCCTAGAGCAGCTTAAAATCTTATTTAGTTTAGATGGGGAGGGGTAACAAAAGGATAGAACGGCAAAGGGCAAGAGAAGGTTTGAAATAATTAAATTAATAGCTACTTAAGGCCCATTTCAATTATATATCAGTATTAATAGCAGAGATTTAAATAAGAGAGTAATGGAAGTAGTAGTGGTAAAGCCACTGAAACAATGCCAGTCAAAGAAGAGATCATTATAGGAGCATTTTAAGAAAGTATATTGGTAATATTTGACACTCAAGGTTGGGAATTATGCACAAGAGTGCAGAAACTTGATGTATAGAACAAGGTGTAGAATGATTTAGGGAATATGTAGTGAGTGAATAGCGCATATTCTAACACATTTCCAGATGGAAAGATCTTACTAAAACTGTAATTTGATTCCAGCTTTCTCCTCTTAGTAATATTTTTGGGGTAAGAATAAAGAAAGGAGGAAAACACAAAAGATGATGAAGTCTGAACCTCAAAATTCTGTGAGGCAGTGATAGCACAATATTTTTTTATTGATATGTATCCACAAAAAATTATCTAGACAAGCTAACCCACCATTCTAACATCACTAGTTCATGGTCTTCATAGGACAAAAATACAACCCTATACCCTCAAGTGGTTAAATTTTAATAATATGGTAAGTTAAGCTCCCACTTTAAATCCTTGTTTATGATTGATTTAAATTAATTAGCATCTCTTTGTTTTTTGTGGTGAAAGAAGTCTATTTATCGATCCACTTAGTTTTTAACGGGCAGCATTACTGAACTACTTTGACAATATTTGGACATACAACAAATAACTGCATTTTATTTTTTTGAGCTATTGTAAACAGTTAGCCATCTGCGTATGTGTATGATTTCTTCAAGTAGGAATCCCATTCTACACAGAAAGATTATGATTCTTCCTAATGGTTAAGCAGGAAATTATATTCTCCTTGCTTTGAATATATCACTTATGTGAATTGAGTAGTGCAAAAATTCAAAGAATAATTAAAAATAACTAAAAATGTTGAATGAAATAAGAATTGCCTATGAATGGTTAGTTCTCAATTCCTCACTCTGATGTGCTAAGAAGACTTGTCCATTAAAGTGAAAAGATAAGCTTTTAAAACCAAAAATAGACATATGATCATCAAAGAACTTTTTCTAGATATTCTTCCCTCTCTGGTGATTCAAATTTCATATTTATAGATGATTGCCTAAGGCCTTGTCCTTGTCCGCAATTTACCATATATTAATAACTCAAGAATACTCTTACTTTGCACTCAACTGATTCATGAAAGAGCTTTAATTTGACACTAATGGCTCTTCCCCATTGTTCATTTGCAATGTTCTCCATCCATATATGGGCAAGCAAAAAACTAATAGTCTCCTCGTTGCCCATCCCAATTGCCCCGTTCTGGCTTGCAGCATCCTCACTTCCCATAACAGGCAACGCCATCCTTTTCTCTGACTGGGTTAGGAAGGCAGCAAGTAAAACAAAAAGGAGTTTCAATAAATCCACTAATGCAGGGATTAATTTATTGCCAAGTAGCAGAAATATAATAATCTTATTTAACCATCCTCTGAACCCAACCATTGGGGTCAGAAAGAAAATAAGGTACTCCTTGACTTATGATTGGTCGTTTATGGACTGTCTGAGGTTACGATGGACTCCTCAAAAGGTATTTATGACCTGGCTCCAAAGTTATGACAGCTCCCCCAACCCCCCCAATGATCACAAGACAGAATTTCAGATGCTTGGCAACTAACTTGCATTTGTGGTTGTATACAGCACCTTATAGTCACTGTAACCACAATTTATGACATTTTTTTTGCCAAAAACTGACATTTACTTCTAGTTTCCTGCAAAAAATGTCCCCTCATGAAAAATGGGTTTCCTTAACCGTGGCACTCACTTAATGACTTCTGCAGAAAAGGTTATAAAATAGGAGTAAGTCACACGATAATGCACTTTACAGCTGTCACTACTTATGAACATCATGAGCAAGCTCCATTAAGGACGCAAGTTGAGGACTACCTGTATTAAACATGCAACTTCAAATGAATACTAAACATAGTGGTAGATCAGCAATTCTACCTTTCTTAAGTTCTTTATCAGTTAGAGATATATTTCTACAAGTCAACATTCGGTGAACTTTTATCCCATCTTGTGCTATTTTATATCCAATTAAATTTAGGACAGAGATTTTTTCCTTTTAAAAACAGGTATGTGTTGTTTCGGTCAGTGCAGAAAAGTACATTTCAACTGCAGAACTAGAGAGCAAATCACTAGAGAAGATACAAATTGATTTAATGAGACAAGAAGGCAATTGGGGATTGTACAAGGAAGCACCAAGAAGTTATTTTTCAGTTATTTTCTTTCCTTCTTTTTGCCTGGCACTCTCCTTCTGCTGATTTGTTGCTTGAACTGAAATGCATCATAATTGCTCGAGCAAGAAGGCAATATTTTCTACTTTATGTATGCATACCTGAAAAATTTGTTAGTGATCTAAATTTTCTTATGTTCTCTTTATCATACCAAAAGAAAGTATGTTTCCATGTTAAACATAAGGATTTACACCAAGCTGTGAATTTGACATAACATCTACCTGCTTGTCAAGGAATAGTGAAGTTTTATTAGGTAGATGTTCAGCAACTATTAAGCAAATAAATAGCAGAAACAGCCTATATTTTGAAAAAATTAATAATTTGTTGTATTGTCAACAAATAGCAACACACTATTTGATTTCCTGGTTTTACTTTTTTTTTCTATTTAAGCTCAAGGCAGTAGACAATAAATACTATAAAAAGGGATGCAAATGAAAACCAACTTAATTCAGCATGATAAAAAACCTGAATTGCTCATAAAGACATGAAAATACTCTAAATTAACAAATAACTGCTTCCTATTATATGGTCTACGAACATTTAGCATGAATTAATATCTCTGGGTTGGAAATTGAATTGAAAAGAGGAGACACATTATTGTCCCTTCTTTAATAAAAGAGACAAGGTACAGTTACTCAAAGACTGGATTAAACTGGAGCAATGGAAATATTACAAAATGATAATTATATAATTTATACATGACTAAATATCACCACAGTTTAGTCTATAAAACTGTCAGTAAGAATTAGTGTTCACTGCTAACAAATACAGCATTATAGCCAAGATGATTACAGTTATTCATGGAGAAAAGCAAAAAACCATGCAGCATTTCAGCAAGGCATTAATTGGAAGCACACTGGATGAAATTAAGTATTTCCTAAGCAGATGATTGCTTGAGACCCCTTCTCTCTTCCTCCAATTCTCCAGAGTTTGCTTTGAAGAAGGTTTTGAGGTCTTTCAGAAGGATTCAAAAGCAATACAAGAGTTGCTCCCCTTCCCATCTTTAGGGTTGGAGCACATTTTGTTGGTGGAACGTTAGTTAACTGAGAACCAAGAATTCAAGCCTACTCTAAAGGTGAATTTGCTTGTGCTAAAGCATGCTTGCAGTGTTGAAGATTATCGAGGCATTAGAGTTACATGCCTCCGAGACCTGGGGAGTGTCATAACTGTTTCTTTTGGTAGGCTTGGAGCTATTGTTGTTATGTTGGATTGTCTGCCTGCCTGCCTGCTTGTCCCATCTATCTATATCTCAATCTGTCCGTCCATCCATCCATCCATCCATCCATCCATCCATCCATCCATCTGTCCGTCCATCCATCCATCTGTCCGTCCATCCATCCATCCATCCATCCATCCATCCATCCATGCATCCATCCAATCTTAAAATACCATGTATGCATCTATTTTACAACACCATGAGTTTAAATGTAGCGGAAAGCTAACAACCACTCTTCTGTTTAAAAAGTTGCAAGTCGCTTGTCTATATAATCAATGTATTTGACTAGTGAGAACTGTTCACCTGTGAAGCAGGTAGAATGTAAGGGTGCAAGGAAGAGAAGCCTCAATTAGCTGCCTCAGCAAAATAAATTTCCTCCTTTGGCAAATGGTTACAGGTATTATAATTTACAGTTTTGTTTACTTTTAATAATGTGTTGAATATTTTCTCTCTCACACACACGCACTGGGTGCTGGAAATCAGGATATTTAAAGATGTTAGTGTTAGCAGTAGACATGCTTGATAAAGGTAGTCCTTGACTTACAACCACTTGTTCAGTGACCATTTACAAGTTACAATAGCACTGAAAAAAGTGAATTAGAAGTGTTATGACCATTGCAGCATCCAGATGTTCATGTGATCAAAATTTGGGCACCTGGGAACTGGCATGTATTTACGATGGTTGCAGCATCCTGGGGTCATGTCATCATTATATGTGACCTTCCCAGCTAGTTTTCAACAAAGTAAATGTGGGAAGCCAAGTTTATTTAAAAACTGCAGTGATTTGGTTAATAGTCATGGCCAAAAAGGTCATAAAATTGGGCATGACTCACTTAACTCACTTAGCAACAAAAATTTTAGTTCCAAATGTGTTCATAAGTTGAGGACTATCTGTACTCCTTAATTTGTGTAATTCTGAGCTGTACATATTTTTATGACTGAAACCACCATACCATAACCCTGGTATTTGGTAACCATTTGTTCAGAAAAAATATTGTGGAATTTTAATCTGGAGTCTACTAAAGAGTCTACTTTTCCTTAGGGCCTTGACTGCTTTTTATTACTTTAAAAAACTGTTATATTAACTGCTTTGAAACCAGTTAAAATTATTCTGTATTGTAATATGAGTATCTATAATGTATAGAAAAACCTATTTAGATCTTTACCGATTCTGAAAATTTAATCTGTGCATATTTTATCTGCCTTTACAGCAGCTTTGAGGTTAAAATATGGTTTACCTTTTCTACAAGGAGTTTGCTTTCTAGTTATGATTAAATTTTTCCAGGTGTTATTTCAAGCAAATATTTGCTTAATTAGGAAGCATGTTAGCTGATTAAGAATAATTTATATGTCAAAAAAGGGAATTAAATTCACTTATTACTGATCATTTTCTTGCCCATCCAATATATTTTCATTTCATTTCATTTTGATAGGCTCAAGGGTAGAAATTAAACAAGAATTTATAATGTGTTAAGGACAAAAAGCAGGAACAGTGTATCATTCACAGCTACAGTACAAGAACTTATGCAATGCTAAAAGAAAAGCAGTGTATAAGAAGTGGGAGGGAAATTATCAACTGTGTCATTGCTGAACTGGAGCTAAGGATATTAAAAGTAACTTTGAGAAAAAGGTTGGGAAGAACTTTTGTTGGGAAGAAATATTTTCTGACTAAGTAAATACAATTCCTCCCCCTACCCCAGAACAACAAAATACAGCTAGTCATTTGTTTAATGTTAAGGAGTACATATAAACATTAAACAGTGCAAATTATCTGTCAAAGAATTTGAGAACAGGAGGGGAAAGACTTAAAAGGGGATTATGGTTTGTTTAACATGAAATAAAATTAAAATTGCCAACATTTTTCAACTTTACCAAACTTCACATTTTCATTTGAAACCTTGCATGATACTTTCTAAGATTTGATAATCTTGTGAGACTTTGGCCGTTAAAAATGTAATTTTTATTGTTAATTTTGACATGTATAGAACCTTCTTAGATTATCAGTGATTTAAGGAACCATTAAACTAGGGAACCCAGCTGAACATAACAAAGCTCATATATGTTCAAGCTGTATTAGGAGTCTGCTGCACTTATAATAACTTATCTCAGAAATATTTTACACTCGAAGAATAAATCAAGCTACCAAATCTACCAGATCTACTGTTAATAATTATTAATGTACATACAAACACATGCTATGCCTTCACGAGCATGCCAGGCTTCACATCCTGCACACTTCCAGCCAGTAGATCCAGGCTTGCACACACATTGTCCGGTGAGAGGGTCACAAGGAACAGGTAGCGAACCATGTGGGTGACACTCACATTCTTGACAAGATCCACCAGGAATTTTTGGGTTCCCGGTGTATCCAGGAGAACATCTAGAGAATGAAAAATGGAATAAAAAGAACTTTAGAATTTCAGTGCAAATGGCTTCTCTATGAACGAATGAGTCAAAATATACTCATGATTAATTCTGTTGTTTACAATTTTACATATTTGTATTGCACACAATTTTAAACAAAAATGTTCTTTGAACATAGAAATGCAAGCTTAAAAATGATGCTGTTTTTTTATCCTGAATAATAATTGCAACAAAATTCATGTACATATAATTTGCAATACATAAAATATTATGCATACGGAATAAAGTAGTACTTTTACTCCCTATTTAGCAGCACATGATGAAAGCCAATCTAGCATATACACCAACCTTCCCATAGTTTATGTTTTATGCATTTTACAACCAGCTTTTTCACATGCTTAATATGAATTTTCTTGATTTACTTCTTGAAATTTCTGTACAAGGATTATGTTCTTTAATCAACATATTATAATTTTCAAAAATTTTTTCTACAAGGACAATTATTGTTTCTCTTCTATGAATTTCTTTCTATTATTATTGTCTTTTTTATTTAATATGTTACACATTTAGTTATACTGTCCCCACCATTGAGAAACTCTGCTTTATAAACAATATGCTTTTGAATGCAAAATGGACATGCTGGCTTTTGCATTATGGGGAAGAAAGTGAGTGTTTTCTATTGCTTAATAAAAAGCTATGAAGGAAGTATCAGAGAAACACCATGAAGTCTTCACCTAATCAAAAAGCTCTGCCCACTGAAATATGTATTACATCCTAGAAATCAAATGGCTCATTAGATCATGAAATGATTGCTAATATCTTGCACATAATTTATCACTTTAGAGTTACAGCATCAATTATGTGATTAAAAACATATTCCTTTCATTAGAATTGCGAATGGATAAAAGTTTGTGGAATTGCTTTTAATTAGGCTAACACAGACATTGTATGTGTGTGTGTGTGTGTATACACACACACACACACACCAGATACATGCCATATCTATATATCATACACACATATAAGTATATATACCCTACATACTTATACACGCACCATAAACACACACACACATACAGTGTGTGTGTATATGTATATGCATATGTATACATGTGTGTATATGCACTTCTGCTGATTCTAGGAATGTCCTGTTGCATACTACTTTCATTTTGATTCTTTTAAATATCTCACCCTTACCTTTCACAGTACTGTCCTTCATATCCAGGTGGGCAAGCTGTACATCGGTAATCGTTAACTCCTTCAATAACACATGAGGGACTGAAACTTGTATATAAAAACATAATACTGTTAATTCTTTCCTTTACCAAGGATATATTAGCTTCAAAGAAGAGCTTCACACAAATGGTACTTTAAACGTCTGCTCCTCCAAGTCATGCTATCAATTTAAATTGTTTTATTTCTAAGATAACTAAAATATAGGCAGATATCACATAACTTATGTCATGTGGAAGCCTTATAATGCTTCTAGAAGTACAATGTACATGATTTTGGAAAGGAAAGACATGCAACGAGGAGAAAATCTTAAATCTATTTGTATTTTGTTTTGGAAGATATAATTTTAAACTTTATTTATTCACACTTATTATAATTTTGAATGGGATGAAAGCTCAAAGAGTTTCAATAGATAAGCTGCATTTTTCTTGTCACAGTTTAACATAGCATTTTTTGACTTTCACTTTTAAAACCCATGGCCTCTTATTTAATACAAATATTTTCTCAAATGTTTACATACTATATTTCCATAAAAATGATTTCAAATTAATACCAATATGCCCAGACATTCAGCCAACAATATTTACAATCAAGTCACACTATGGTCAAAGTATAGTTTAGGAGATTTTTTTAAAAAGCATAAAATATAATTGTTAATGAAGTTTATAGAATTAATCTCTCCTAGTTAGGCTAACACAGAGAAGTTTCATATAAGCTTATTTTTTATTCCATTATGGAAGCCATGGCAGATCACCATGAAAGCAGTTTGAATATCTTTTGGGTTGGTCTGAGTAACTTTCTTTCAGCTCAACATTGAATTGAGTACAGCATTTTCAGTACAGCATTGGAGTTGCAAGAAAAAATAATCAATTAAGTTCTGATAGTAAAATGAAGACAGAGGTTTCGATACTGGCTTCTTATGGCTCTCACCTGTTTTTTTTCCCAGCCTTTATTTGGGTTGGTAAAAAGAATGTACAGTATATACATTTGCCACCTAACAAGTAAATACATGAATTGTAAACATAAAATAGAGATTATAAGAAAACATGGGTTTCAGGTTACCATTTTCATTTGGAATTCAATTTATTTTTTTGGAAGATGAGATTGGGAGAAATTAGTAAAAAATAAGAAAAGAAAAAAGCCCTCCAGTACGCTAGCACAACTTGGTCCTACTTTATTTTTTTGACAGTGGAACCAAGTATTACAAATAGTTCATGTCAGATTGGAAAGAGGATTGGAAGTTAGTTTTCTCTCTCTTTCTAGTTTATTTTATCATCTAGCTGGAAAGGGACTCTAGATGCAGGATCATTTGGGCAAAAGATATGGTAGTCAGTTCATTTCTGTCTTCATCGGAACATATTCTCAGTATCCAATATTATACGATTGAGGATAAAACACAACATATGCGTTTATATCACACATACAGTAGATGTCATGTACAACTATTGCTCACAGCAGCAGTAATAACAGCTGCTTTGTAAACAAACCAAACAAGTTCATTCTTCCCTGTTTTTTCTTTCTATTTCAACCCTTCCATTCCACTGTATATTTCAGGACATAGAAATATCAATGTGACCATTTAAGGCAAATCCCGCATTTAATTCCCACGGCATTTAAATATTATATTATATGAAATTAAGCCAGTTTTGTATTAATTTAGGGGGGATAATTACCAATCTGCTCTAAAAACTGGAATTGCTGGACTGATTTATTAGCAACTCTCTGAACAGTTAGAAAACTAATTTGGCTAGAGGGTGAGGATGATATTGTATGTTCAACCCTGGGGCAAAGATTGTGCTGCAATCTGCAAGGTTATTTTATTTTCACTGGTAATACTGTACTTATTTATTATATGGAGATGACACGTAGATGTTGCCCTTTAAATTTTATTGTGTAAATCTATTGAGCAGAGTAGAACCAGGTGTATTGAGATTAAAACTACCAGCATTCATATCCAGCAGAGGCAAGTTTGAAATAAGTAGATTCATTGAAAAACAAAGCCGATAAATATAATTTTTCCCTATCCCAAGCTTTCCCTATCAAAAGTTCATATAAAAATGTCAAAAATGCATCATTTGAAATTAGAGTGAGCTTTGAGAAGGCAGAATACTTTCTGCTTGCAAAACTACTTTTCTGATCATTAACGTATACATATAATAGAATTCCTATATGGTTTGTTAGAAGGGGGTCTAACAATAATGGCGGCTATGATACTGATAAAATTATAATTGTAGGGCAGTATGATAATGAGAGAAGGTTCAATCTTTAATAGTGGTGATCTAATATGTGAATCAAGAGAAGCAGGAAGATTTCAACTGATGGAAGTATGAGTATATTTGCAATGATTTGTACAAAAACTGCTGACCCAGATTAACACAAAAGTGCTATGGCATTCGAATCCCACGCAAAAACTTTCCTTTTCCTACGGTAAGAGCCAGCATCCTCCTCTACCTTGCTTATAATCAGGGGTGGGATTCAAATTTTTTAACAACCGGTTCTGTGAGTGTGGCTTAGTTGGTGGGCATGGCTTGGTGGTCATGTGGCTGGGTGGACGTGGCTTGATGGACATGTTATTGGCTGGGAGTGGCCAATTCAATTACATTGAGGCATGCATCTTCTCGCCTGGCCTCTCATGACTGTGGGGATGCTGCAACAGTCGTAAGTGTGAAAAATGGTCATAAGTCACTTTTTTTCAGTGCCATTGTAACACTGAATGGTCACTCCACACAAGCAAAGTACCAGCACAGGAGGGAAAGAAAACTCCAGAGAGGTTCTTGAGACAGAAAGTCTAGTCCTGCCAAGAATGTAATAAGGGTTAATGGAGAGGCAGTTTCTTTAAGCAACACCAGAATGTTTCCTTCCTGCCTTCCTTACAGGATTAGGCCAGTAATTTCTTCTAACAACCAGTTCTCCGAACTGCTTAGAATGTTAACAACTGGTTCTAGAGAATAGGTGCGAACTGGTAGAATCCCACCCCTGCTTATAATGCATTAAATCAATAGTGCTTGAATGAATAATAAAATTATGCAGTTGCAAAAAAGTGTAAAGAGATTGATCACTCACAAACTCATTATCATCACATTGTCAATTCACTAAAAATAGACCCACAAACCAAATCACATTCTCCAGATGAAGATTGTTTTATGTTATGTTACACACTGAAAACTGAATGTCAGATGAAGAAATAGGAAAGCATTTAAAAATTGTAAAGATGTAAAACTGTTGCTATTTTTTTTTTAGGATCCTGGCCTTTGGGAAGGGAGTTAAAGCAGAAAAGCAAGCTACTGGACCTCACTGTTTCATAACAATTACAACACACCAAATCTGAATGCAGACATATATAAGAACCTCCATGCTAGATCAGAGCAATCACTTGTATCTTTTAGTCCTCTGTTTTGATTAGTGGTCACCCCAGATACTATGACATGTTCATAAACAAAGTATGAGCACAGCATAATCTTTCTAGTTATATTTCCTATGGGTTCCAGGGGTTTACTGCCATTGGAGATAGCATATGACTAGCAGTCAATGATAATCACTGAGACGTCCCAAGGGTTAAATATAAATCATCCAAGATGCAAAGGAGCAAGGAGATTATCTGATTTGAAATTGGAATTGGAATATAGAACATAGAAAAATAGGGTTGAAAGGGAACTTGGAGGTCTTCTAGTCCAACCTCCTGCTCTAGCACAAGAATGTATACCATTCCAGACAAATGGCTGTCAGTCTCTTCTTGAAAACCTCCAGTAATAGAGCACCCGCAAGTTCTGGAAGTAAGCTGTTCCATTTATTAATCATTCTTATTATCAGGAAATTTCTCCTTAGTTCTAGATTGGATCTCTCTTTAACAATCTTTTTAATGATTTTACAGCCTGCTATTTGGTTTGGATGGAAGGACATGACCTCAGAATCAGATGGCATGGTTTTTTGTGTTACAATCAAGTTAAGGTTAATAAAGCTTTAAAAAATTACTATATAAGAAGTGAAGAAATAAACCCAGATTGTGCCTGAAAACACCATTACGGATCTCAGCACAAGAAGAATTGTAAAGAAAATAAACAGCAAGCAAAGAATGATGGCTAGCTGTTAGAAGGAAGCTGTTGGAAGAAGAGTATGGAGAATATAAGATGAAATCAAAAGAATGATTAACTGAGAGGGATTTAGTTTTCATTGGTTTTTATATGCACAATTAAGAGCAAGATTTAAGAGAATACTTGTAGCTTAGGGTTAAACTGAGGGTCCTTGGTATTCTATGAGTTTGGTAGTTTTCTTGCAGACGTTTCATTACCAAACTAGGTAACATCAACATGATGATGTTACTTAGTTTGGTAATCAGGGGTGGGATTCTACCAGTTCGCACCTGTTCTCTAGAACCGGTTGTTAACATTCTAAGCAGTTCGGAGGACTGGTTGTTAGAAGAAATTACTGGCCTAATCCTGTAAGGAAGGCAGGAAGGAAACATTCTGGTGTTGCTTAGAAACTGCCTCTTCATTTACCCTTATTACATTCTTGGCAGGACTAGGCTTCCTGTCTCATGAACATCTCTGGAGTTTTTTCCCTCTCCTTTGCTGGTACTTTGCTTGTGTGGAGTGACCATTCAAAGTTACAATGGCACTGAGAAAAGTGACTTATGACCATTTTTCACACTTACGACTGTTGCAGCATCCCCACAGTCATGAGAGGCCAGGGGAGATATGTGCCTTGATGTGAGTGATATTGAGTTGGCCACACCCAGCCAATAACATGACCACCAAGCCATGTCCACCCAGTCACATGACCACCAAGCCATGACCACCACCTAAGCCACGCCCACCGAACCGGTTGTTAAAAATTTTGAATCCCACCCCTGTTGGTAATGAAATGTCTGCAAGAAAACTATCATGTTATGAGAGTACCAAGGACCCTACAGAAACATTTAAGGTAGATAACCAGATATTTGGAGTTGAACAGCATAAGACAAAACTGAACTATCTACAAAAAATGAACATGTTAAGTGCCAAAATGTATAAACTTTTGCTGAAATTTGAAACGGAAGAAAAACATGTCAAAAATGTATGATAAAATGGGTTAAAAATTATGGACATAATATACTAATGGAACAATGGGAAAATATGTGGCTGAAAGGACTGAAATGCACATTATGTTATAATATAAAACACTTTTTAAATAAGATGATATGTTATTAGTATATAACTATTGAGAAATTATCCCGAATGCATAAAGGTATTTCATATCTATGCTATGTAGACAACAGGAAGGGTCATTTTATCATACCTAGTGGATTTGAAAAAAAAACCCAGAAAATTTTGGGTTCAAATATACAAAGTAATTCAAAGAATTTTCAAGATCAATTTTCAAATGTCTGAAGCAAAAACTTTTCTTGCTGGGAATAATGGATAAACAATCAGATAAAAGCTGTGGAAGATTATTTGTACATATGGTTACTGTTGTGAGACTATTATATGCACAAACGTGGAAAGATTCTGAAGCAATTATAATGGAGGAATTACAATTGGTGAAGAAGATAAAATTAGTAGAGAGAGCAAAATTGATTTGTCTAATTAGGGCAAGGAAAATATCCTCATTTATTAGTGATTGGAAATCGCTTATAGACTTCTTTTTTTTCTTTTTTAATCGCTAATAAAGTTTCTTTTAAAATTAAAAAAAAGACTTTTTGTGGAAGAAAAAAGTGAAGAGTAAAATATGGATGGAAAAAATTATTATGTAATCTAGAGACAGAAAGTAAAATGTATTTATTACTACTGTTAAGAAGGTTTGAAACTTTATAATCTTTTTTATTTTATTTTTCTTCTTTCTTTCTTCTTTGTTCATTATTTTTCTTTATTTTCTCTATTTTTCCTTTAAAATTTGTATTGTTTTTCTCATTAAAATTTCTACATATATTTAAATCATACATACAAGAATAAAACATCAAGAGCTTTATTTTTTTTAAACTTCATCTAATCTGTATAATAAAAATAATTGCACAATCACAGGAACTGCTACAATATATATCTGTGAAGTTCATGTACAAAGTGTTTCCTTTTATCTGTTTTAAATATGCTATCACTCAGCTTTATTGTACATTCCTAGGATTTGTAATTAACTTCCACTATACTATGCATAATTTGATAACTTTGATCCTGTTTCTTTAACTTACATTTGTCATAACAAGAAAAGCCAAATATACCTTTTCTACAGCCGCTGAATTATTTTAGTTTTTTTATTTCCTGAATATGCTCCATTTCTACAATACCTTTCTAAAGGTTTGATGACCCAGAAGCATAGTTATACTTTCATTTAAATTTGCTATAAATTATCTAATAATTGGAAAGTAAAAAAAAATTCTATGGCATTTTTAGTGCTTAAAAAGCATGTGCCTCATCTAAATATAACCCCTATAATATAATTTAAAGTAGGTCAGCACCTTTTCTATACTTCTGTTGGGGTGGACTGAGGTTGAAAGAATATATTACTTAGAGCCACCCAGTGAGGACCTGGTAGAGGAAAATTCAAACTGGGAACTTTTTTTTCATTCCTAGCAAAATCTTTCCACCAATAAGCTACAGTTCTTGAGATCCACATTATCAATGATAAACTATTGTGTGGAATTGAAACTGTCTCAGCCATGCTTATGATATAAAAAATAGGATAAACTAATTGGGTTATGCAGCAGGAAAATAGTCATGCTTGTTCTCTTTTTGTCTAGATAAATCTATTAAAAGAAGTGAAAAGAAGAGCTTTACAGAGTATTGCAAGCTTGAAACTCATATGCCTACAGAGCTTTATTAGGTGTCTTTCAATTGAAGAAACATTGGCTAGTATGTCAATAGATATTTAAATCTGCATGTGAGATATGCATGAAGTATCAGTGTTGTCTGCACAAATCAGTGTTGTCTATCAGTGTTGTCTGCACAGCATTAAGGATAGATCCAATGGTGAGATATTCAGCATTGCAAAAGATGGAAATCAACATTGTGTATTTTTTTAATAAATAAACTGATACAAGATATAAATAGGATACAAGATATAAATAGAGGAAGAAATCAACTTCTTTGCATGAAATTAATTTTATTTTAAGCCACATTTGCAAAAGAATAATGGGATGAGAGAATCATTAGCATGACATACTTAGATAAATTGATTCAGCACGATAATATTGGCTTTAAATTATGTGATCCTTCACAAGTCATCCCAGACCAACATAACATTAAAGAAGGGCTCAATACATTACTAAACTCACTGCATGGCAATGTAATGCTTTTATCGCAGCACAAAATATGAGCAGAAGCTTCCCTACAGCTCCCTTGTGACTGCATTGAACTTGAGAGCTGTACTGTAGCTTCACTTGTGAGTATAATTTTTATAATGCTCATTCATTATCCACTGACTATCACATTGTCAACTCTTTATGGATTCCTAAATAGCTAACTAGCCTAGAAGCCATTTCTGAGCGAGACAATTTAGCAGAAGTGGCGCAGTCACTACTCAGTGTGATACAATAGGCAGGATTTCACCAAGGAACCCAAGGAAAAGTTAGACTAAAGACAAAGAGAGCCAACGTAGGATCATGGCTATGGTGTTGAATTCAGACAAAGTCCATTCTCAAGCACTGAAGTCCCTGAGTAACCTTGGAATGATTCTCTCAGTCTCATTTACCTCACAGATTGTTGGGGTAAAATGAAAGATGTTGATATATAAGTCCCTTGAACTCCCATGGAAAGACAGAATACAAACAAAAGGGCATAAGCAATCCCTACTTACTTGTTGCTTGACATGGTCAAAGGGCAGGCACAAGGCTGACAGTCATTGGTATTTCCTCTAACGATCCCATAGAATCCAAGTGCACATCTTTCACAGTGGTCCCCATATGTGTTGTGACGACAGTTCTATGGAGAGAAGCAGAGAAGAGATCATTCTAGTTCTACTGCAAAGTCACAGCTACTGGTGATAATGCAGCAATACTTTTCATTCCCCAAAGTATCTCAAGCTCAAAATCCCTAACATCTAAAAAAAAAAAAATGTGCAGAGGATCAGGTTTCCCTAAAGCCCATACATTTGAGGATGGATTATCTTATTCCAAAGTGTGGTGTACCATATCTAAGAGAAGTTGCAATGCATTCTATTTTGATATATTTCTAAAATTTTTAGAGTACTATAAAGTTATATTGAAAAGTATTTAGGTGATCCCCACTCATATTATTTTGGTCTGGATAAACCAATATGTTGAAGAATATCCTTTTTTTAATGCAATGGGGATTCACGATCTGACTTTATGAAGTAGGAGTGCAACTTCTGTTGCTAGCAGTATTGAAAAAAATGGGGATAATTGACCCTTATTCTTTTCAGCGGCAAATAATCTTTTCATTCCTCTTAGCTTTTGCCCAGTTCTGCAGTTGTATTAAGTTAAGATAATATTAAGAATCTGAAAGCCCAAGATTAATTATTTTCTGGACCTGCTTTAAGTTCAGAAAAAAATATTCCAAGATTTGGATTCCTCCAAAAAGTCCACATTATTTAAAAAAAGCTTATGTCAACCTTGCAATGGGTGTGTTATTTAGAACCATGACAGCTTACTTATCTCTGATTACAATACTATAAATTTAGAAGAGATTAGTTAAGCAATTTCAACAACTAACTTTCCCACTCACTTATTTTTCCATTTTCCCATAATTATCAATTTTGGGATCCATTTTCTTGCCTTCTGCATCATACCCTTTTGCTTAGGCAAGTATTGCAGAAATAGATAGCTCTAATAGTAATATAAATCACTCCCCAGAAATCCAGAGTCATTGGTGTTACTAAGACTGGATAACCAAATGCAGATGGAAGAGTCCCATATTCTTCCATTAAAAATAAAACAAAAACAAAATCAAGGGAGATATTTTCTACCCTAGCCTCAGCTGGCTGGTTCTCTGTCATTTGAGCCTTGCTCAAGAAGTTGAATGGGAGGATGTAAAAGAAGAGGAGCATGGGAGTAGAAAAGGAATAAATAAAATAATACAATAATCAAATAAAATTAGAAAATAAAATAAATTACCTCTGAAACCATTTGGCAGAGGAAACTCTTAGCCCTGGCTCGCACTAATTATGGTTTATGGTAACCTCATGTGGAGACCCATGTTTGAGAGCAGACATTAAACTCTGCCATCCTGCAAATGCAGCCAATCAAGTTTGGGGAGCAATTACATGTTTTTATTTTATTCTTCATTACAGAGATGCTATTGCTCCTGCTATGGTTAAGTCAGTACTTATTTTCTGAGCATTATGTGAATGACTTAGAAGAAACTAGTTAGTATTTTAGTAAGTCTTACAATTAAAATGATAAAACCGACAGTAAAAGTGACATTAAAATTGTATTGTCCAATAATTCTTATTGACTTCAGTTGCAAAGATGTCTTCAGAATGTGGAAAATAGGAATAGAGTAAATCATCTAGAAAAAGTATACATTTTATACCTGACAAATTGAGGTTTCGGGGTCACACATTTCACTATGCCTGTGGCATGAACAAGGGACACAGGCTCCTAGGGCAGGACCTGGCCTTCTGCCAGTATATGGAGAAGCAAGTCTATAAAAACCTGGGGAACAGGCCTGCAAGAAATAAGAAAAACAAACACTGTCCTTAATATTCTTCATCCCCATTCCTCTTGTCAGACAACTTCTTCCTCCCTTCCAACCAATATTTCTTATTTACAGGACACCTTAGGTCTGTCAGATTATATAATTTTCCAGAATTTTCCAATCCTTCTCAGCAATTTTTCCTTTCAGGATTTTCCTCCAATGCAATTCTTTACTGATATGGAATAAAATAGAAGGTAGAAAGCCACTCAGAAATCAGAGCAATGAAGCAGAAAGTAATCTGGCATAGCTATCAGAATTCTGATAGCTAAATCAGACTTCAGAACAGAAATAATAATAAAAAATATATATATATTTTCCTACAGAGTACAGTACTTATACCATCATTTATAATATCCCAAACTATAAGTAATACATAATAATCAATTTTATGCATAAATAATATACACGCGTGGAATTCAAACATTATACTGTAGATCCTATCCTATCCATTCAATTATAATTCATAAGCACTTTGAGATAAACTTTATAGGTATGAGGTATATTACCTCACATGACAAACCAAAATGGCCCACAGGACAGTTACATTGCTCAATCAATTGGGCACTTGGAGTTCTTCTCGATACATTTCCTGTGTCTGCAATTTCCAGGCTAATCTCAGAAATTCTGGCAGAAGAAAACAGAAGGGAAAAAAATAAATTAAACTCTGCAGATTAAATTTTACTTTAATTGATAGACAAGAACACTTGCACTCAACTTTGGGGCATTATTTAGAAAAGATAAAAATTATGTTAGTCTGCCTCATTTTATTTTTATCATTATTGGCCTGGGCTAGTGGTGTTAATGTAAAAGTATACTTACTCAATTCAACTTTTATTTAATTTAGAACCCAAACACCAGCATTCTAAAGGCAGAAAAAAAGAATCAAAAAGCCATCCTCTGTATGTTGTCTGTTGATTGTGACTGAAGCAAATGTAGATATAAAGTTATTATGCTGGATATAAATTAGAGGTGGGGAACAAAGCAGAGGGAATCTTCTTTATCTTAGGTGGCTACTTCATTGGAAGTCCATCAATCTATCTATCTTTTATTTTGTAAGAAGAGTATGTGTGATTTTTGCCTAGATGAAAATCTGTTCAAATTTGCACTAATCTGTCATTGGCTTGTCCTCATTGTAGGCTAATTATCCTTGGTTAGATGTTGCACTCAAGTAATGTCATGTGGAGATAAGATACCACTTCTTCCAATTTTGGAAGGAGGAGAAAAAGGGAAACGTTGTGGTGTAAGAGACAAAATGGATGTGTATACTAAAAAAGCAGCTTTGTCAATAACAATTCACAAACATATTAAAACATTTAAAACAAATGGAGGAAAGAGATATCTCAACATCTCACCACTAACCTTTACCAGATGCTCTCTTAGTTTTGTTACAAAATACTTAGAAACAAGAGAAACAGTCCATTTGCAGCAAAATAAGCAGAAAAGGCAGATGTAGTTTCTATAAAGGCTTTTTTTTAAAAAATATTTGTAAATCAAGTGGTTCTCATGGCCAGCAAGACTTGGGCTGCTGTCTGGAGCATCTTTAGTAGATTTTAGTTTGAACTCTGATACCTGATCAATATCAGGGATCTAGAATTAATTAATAGTAAAATAGAACCCATAGCTCAAGTTCAACTAAATTAATTGTATTAGTCTGTTCTCTTGGAAAAAGGGGAAAAAAAACAACAACCCTCCATCCATTTAATGTAAGAAATGTTTCAACGTTCAATCCTGAAATGTAAAAAGGGGAATAACAAAATTAACACAGCAGGAGAAAAATGTTTGGCTTTGGCTTTTTAATGGCAGCTTCTGAATCACTCACTGTAATACTGTTGCTTTCATGCAGAAACATGATTAGTGCTGCTGTTCAATTACATAGCTAATATGGTGTACTGCTGGAATTAAGCTATTTTTACACTTGAAGCTACAGTCAGCATGATGTTTCTTATAATGTTTTGCTGCAATATATCAATGATCTGCAAGGCTGCATTTGAAAACATTTCAGAAATCCTACTTTTATACCTCCTAGGATTAATTTGTGAATAGTCAGTTTCATCAAAATTATTATCAGCCCATGCACTGTTTCTTCCTTCAAGCCCTGCTCTTGACCATCAGCATGGATGTCACACAGTGTGCTGAAAATGCTCTGTGACAGGGATAAGCTATTTTGTACAACATTAGGTGCTTTTGTCTCAAAGTCCCATAAATCCTAGCTACTGTCATAGCAGCTTCAGTTGATGAAACTGAAATCAAAATATCTGGGTTCACCAAGCTGCCTATTTAGTCACGGAGACGCACACATATTATTTGTGGGCTTAGTTTTAAACTATTCAGTCTATACAATGCATTGGAAATGATGCTGTAGGGAATCAATGACAATAATAGTGATGAAACAGTCAGATATTTGATCCATATTATCTTTCCTATTGATATAATTAATTGAAGCTTTTTAGCTTCTATTAATCTCAGGCTGGTGGTCTTCCAGCAATGTCAACAAGAAATATTAAACATCAAGCATTTCATCTTTCAAAGACAAGACAGGTATTGTATCACTGAACCATACTTTTAAACCATTGAATTACATCCAAAACATAAAACTTTAGAACATGGGGAGATCTGAAATCACCTCAAGGAGAAAGGACAATAGAAAGCATAGAGCTGTGAATTAATGTGCCCTAATTACTGATTTCAAATCCTCTTATTTTACAACAGTATGTCTTTTTTCATATTCTTCTGGATAGCTGTTATAAATGTCACACTTTAGAAAATATACATACAAATCCATGAAGAAAAATGATTAATATATCTCAGATTGCATGAGTTGCAGTGCTCCACTATTTACTTTTTAAGTAGTAACTACTCAGTTAGATTGTCATTAAAAGAAGTATTTACTCTCACAGTACATAATTGATCTATGCAAGTTGTTTCTATTAAGATGCACTGATAGCTATTGATTTGGACATTGTAATAAGAATTAGACAAATTTGTAGAAGATAGTGCTACTACAATTATCAGTTACAATGGCCCTGTATCACATAAAATTCCAGTTCCTGGGAGATAATAGCAGAAGAATGCTGTTATACTCATGAGATACTATTTGGCTTCTCATTTAGTTGGTTCCTATAAAAATGCTATAAGAATGCGAAATTAGATGAGTTTTCCATCATACTTGAATATGGCTCTACCTAAATCAGCCCAGAAAATATAGATGAAAGAAGATATACATAATGCCAGCATGGTACATAGATCACTCACACTAGACTTTGCCAGCAGGAAAGATGAATGACCAAAGAAGATTTATTTTTAAAAAATAGGAAATGAGTTCACAAATACAGATGAGTTATGAATCACCTACAAAAATAGGAAATTCAAATAATCCTACTGAAGCTTTCACTGCGATTGTTCATAGCACTTGGGTCTATGATCTGGATAATAACTAATACCCATTCCAACAAGTGATCAATCCATCCATTAATAAAGCCATGTAACATTATAAATCATCATCACTGTTAAAATTGTGTCAGTAGTCATCTATAAAAATGAATGAGAGAAGCAGTGATTGATTGAAAGAACTCGGTCATTACTTAACAATAGAATTATCAAGAAGATAAACTTTTCCAATAAAAGGTAATATTTGTAGTTCAGGGTTGAAGTGAATCAGAGGTGGTATTCAGCAGGTTCTGACCAGTTCTGGAGAACCGGTAGTGGAAATTTTGAGTAGTTCGAAGAACTGGCAAATGCCACCTCTGACTGGAGATTTTACAGTATCCTTCCCCTGCCATGCCCACCAAACCACACCCACAGAACTGGTAGTAAATTTTTTTTAATCTCACCACTGAAGTGAATGGCTTGGTGCACTCTGAGCTTGCTTGCTTTGTTGCAAAATGTCATGCCCCTGGTGGAGACTGACTCTGAGGAAGAGGAGGAACAGCCAACAGGGAATGGGAGTGTGGCTCCAGAGATGGTGGAGGAGGCTAGGGAAGGGCAGAGGCCAGCTGAGCAATCAGAGGAGGATCCAGGCCCATCCTCTATCCATCCTAGGTCACACAGGGAGGAGAGGATCAGGGAAAAGCGAGGTCTACTCAAGAGGAGATTACCAAGATCCTCCTCGTGGCTTGCAGCTGGGAGCTATGTATATAAGTTTGTAACTGCGCAGTCAGAATTGCTGGAGTCAATTTAGTGTTTACTTTGAAAGAGGTTTATCTTTGCTGGCGTTCTTCCCATGGACTCTCCTCGGTTATTTTCCTGGAGTTTATGATTAGTTATCTTGGCTTGCTTCGGAACTCTTGTCAATGCAGTTTGTTTTGGTTTTCTTTTTGCCTCATTTTTTACTTTTGTGACTTTAAACTGTGCCTAATAAAACAGTGAAGTTAAGTTGAAGGCTTTACCGGACTTTAATGTATGTTTTGGGTTTGGGTTATTTTGAGAGATTATGGGTCATCACACAGATATTTCATTCCCCAAACTCAGAAAGAAAACCAATGCTAGTAAGGAGTGCGGTTTGCAGTCAATTTATATTCTAGTGGCTTGCCCTGTCAGTGTTGCTGGGGATGCTCTTAGAGAGATTCTTTGGTTGGGCTGTTTGCTCTTGGCTTCTTTGGCAGTTTCTTGATTGGGTTATTGTTTACTTGATTGTTGGCCTGATGTTAATCCTGGAGCTAATCTATGCCTATCAGGGTGCTGAATGCTGGTGGAGAGGTGCTTGGGTCTTTTTTCATTCTTGAACATATAAATAAACTTATGTATCTTTACTTAAATGTGATACTATTCAGAGATTTTACTCAAAAATCAGGCAATATATTATTGGGCAGGCAATAATATGAGAGAGGTGACTGCTGAATCAGATCAACTAGTTCTTGGACAGCTGGACACTACCAGAACAGGTTAAAGGGGATAGAAGCAAGTGCAGGCTAACTTCCGAGGCAAAAAAAGCAAGGAAGTGCAAAATCTATGGCAAATTACATGTGACACAATTTAAGACAGTTGAAGACAGAATCTTCAAAGTTAGGACAAAATGCTCTGAAGTGACAAGCTGCTCTGGCTGCTTCGACTTTGCTGGTGTGATTTGATCATCATTAATCAAAGGTCAATTATTAGAATAATTTCTAGGTTTTGAGCCCTATGGGAATTCCATCTTTTGACAAGATTATGATTTTCCTTTTATTCTGGCTAAAGAAAGCTGAAATCTTACATAGATTTGCAAATTTAAGCCCATGGATCTCAATGTAAATAACACAATATGGAAAAGTACTTTATGACTTTCCTGTGAAAATGAATCGATCGCTGACAATTGATACTAGTGTTTAGTATTACTGATTGCATCATATAAAAGGCTTACCTGCTTTGTCTCATGAACCTGCCATGAGTTGCTTTGATTAGTATGTAATGAATGTTGTACAGGACATCCATGAAATCCTCACGGGTCACAGTCTGTGTGATCCTTGGATCATCACCATAGTATTTCCACTTATACTGAAAAGGAAGTCATGACAGGAATGCTAATGATTTAACTGTTTTCAAAGTGCCAATGACACAACAGATTGGAATGAAAAATTACCTCTGTCATTTCTATCTCGTGCCTTGTCAACTGGCCATTCAGAGGAGCAACCACATGCCTGACAATAATCCGTGTATGTGTGGGAAGCCCACCTCTGATTATGATCTGGGGATTGTAAGTTGCAAAACCCGTGTCTTCCCTTGCTTCAAAAAATATAGCATATTTCAGCTTTCCTCCGTAAGCCATCAGCTAACATAGAAGAAGAAACCATATAAATAATAATATAGACAGGCCGTCAAAATGAAATAGAAAGAAATAAGAAAAATGGCGAGTATATGAAGATGCTCTGAAGATTTCCAGTTAGCATGAAATGAGTGATTAAAGTTATGATTTTCACTGTATCACATACAAATAACAAGAACTATATAATAAAATAAAACAAGAATGTGGAATTTATTTCCCATTTCTATTTAAAAAAACAACCCATGATTTTTTTGTGTGTGTGCATACCTAAAGTACTGGATATTTTTTCAATTTGAAATATTTCCTGCAATTAGGATAAGCTACAAAAAAAAAGAATGGATAATGTGGGAACTTTTATGCAGTATGCTTTAAATTTATACTTATGAATTTTATGCACAAAAAGTCAAATTTAAAGAAAAGAAGAAGAAGAAATGGGCAAAAAAGCAAAATAAAAACCAAGGTTATAAAATATATTGACTTCCAACTTTCCAATTTTCATCTTTTCAATCATTAAATTCATAAATCATGTGTTCACTTTTTTCTTCTTTTAGCAAAAAACTCATAAAATTTTTCTATTTTTTTTAATTGTTTGTTTTCTCCTTGACCAAATAGATCAGTTTTACTGTTTCTACCAATTCCTACATTTTTACAATCCATTCATCCATTATGGAAATCTCAGTACTTTTCCATCAATGTGACTATCTTGCTGGAACTTTTATGCTTCCTAAGGGTATTATTTCCTATCTCTGTATAGCTGATAAGGCTAGACCAACTAAAAGGTAATTGAGTTTGGGAGTGGATAATCACAACACAAATAAGGTCAAGTGACACAAGCACTTGGATTATCATACTATTATATTTCTTTTTCCACTATCAAAATACGACTTCCACAGCTTCAGGGGAATTCTATTCATCATCATAATTAAAGGGAATTCTTCAAGTATTAAATGAAGCTTTGAAACACAGCTCCCCTCATTATTTTACCTTTTTGAGTATATTATACATTTACATTCTAAAATTAAAAATTTGTTCTATATAGTTTTCTTTTAGATATCAGGTATCTTAGCTATATCTCTGATATTAGCCTTAGCAGAATAATATTACAGAGTCATGGGCTAAAAAATTTGGACCTGCCTAAAAGTCATACTTTCCAATGAAGGTCTCTAACAAAATTCTTTCTTTAGCTTTGTTTTCAAGTAGGGTAACTGGCTGGAAGAATTATTATAAAATATTAGAAAAACAAAGTGATACATGACTTTAAGCAGTGGATTGTAGACATGTCAGTATTTGAATTAAGCTTTAGCAGGGTTTTCTTCCTGACAAAGAAGCAAGGAAAAGGTTTTTAAGCAAGATGATTATTTAGGGGGGAGATAATCTATTTTTAACATGATACTCCAAAACTCCTTTTCATTTCCTTTCTCTTTTTCCCTATTACCGTGATTATTATGAGGTTACACTGTATTTTTTAATTATTTTAATTCTGTTAATTAGCTTGATAATAATAAAATGAATAATATTTCATTATCTGGTTTCTCTTTTAATGGAAAATAATAAGAGAGAATTAATAGTTATGACAATAAAATGGTAACTTTTCATTAGTACTTTCAAGGTCTTTCTAATCTTTGTTGGGGGAAAAAGAAAAGAAATGACAAAATATAAACTGTAATTAGAATTCCCACCCTTTACCTTCTTTCCTTCGAATTGTTCTGGAAGCCTCCAATAAAATGGTTCTGAATGTAGATCTTGCATTACTGAATCAATATTTGCAATTGTTTCTGGATATTGGTATATAATCCCTTTGGTAGTTTGGTGCTGGACATTTTCATCAACCAAAGGAAGGACAACCTGGTCTGGCTTCAGAGTCAGCTAAATGAGAATGAATAGATCAATATCTATCTCTATCTCTATCTTAAACTCTGTTCTGTACAAAATTATTGTTAAAATATTTATCAAACAATGATATATAAAATACATACTGTAATGACTAATATATAATGGAATAGATACAATAATAAAATACATGAAAGTTTAAAGGTTAAAACTAGCACCTTGAATTAGTCTCAGAAACAAACTGGCAGCCAAAGCACTTCACAGAGCAGAAGTTTAATATATTCTGGCCTAGGAGCACCCATACAATCTACCCCCTGGCATTCTGCATTAGCTGAAGCTTCTGAGTACTCGTCAAGGGAAGCCCTATGTAGAGTCCAATCTGGAGATGTCTAGGACATGGGAACAGAGCCTCCAGGATTCAGGAATGTATGTAACTGGCACACAGCACAAAGTCATGAAAAGACCCTCCTAGCCACAACTGCTACTTGAGCAAGAATTGTGAGTTTAGAGGATGCCCAGATTGCATCTGTTTGATGGGCACTGTGATCCCATCCATCACTGAAGATTTACAGTTGCAAAAGTAATCAGAGAAATCAGAAATAACAAGTGTAATTAATATTCAGGCCTATCACTCATCCAAAATACATAAATAGATATTAGTTGTATATAGTAACCATGAGTCTGGGTAAGAAACAGAATATACCAGTTTGCCTACATATGCAATTCAAGATACTGATAGTTACTTTTAAATGGATGACAATGGTTTACTTATGGAAATGTCTCTTCCTGGTTGTTTGTATGTGTCCTGTCTGATCCAGCAAGACAGGCATATTACAGGTACCATCAGCCAAGGAGGGTAGAATCTTATCTGCCATGGTATCCACCTCCTGGAATATCATCCCTACTATTGGGTTGGCCCTACATTGTTGGCCTTTTTAAAAACTTTGAAGACCTGGTTTCGGGTTTTTTTATGTTGTATTCTGTTACACTATAAATATTTTGCATTTTGTATTCCAAGTATTCCACACTTGGAATACTGGATCCAGTTCTAGTCACCACAATAAAAAGTAAGATGCTGAGTCTGTGGAAAGAGTGCAGAGAAGAGCAACAAGAATAATTAGGGGAGGGATGCTAAAACACCCGAAGTTATAGGAATCGGGTATGTCTTGTCTAATGAAAAGGATTAGAGGGAATATGATACCAATGTTCTAATATTTGAGGGGCTCAAACTTTTTTCCAAACCACCAAAAGTCAAGATGAGAAAGAATGGATGGAAACTAACCAAGGAGAGAAACAGCCTAGAACTAAGGAGATATTTCCTAATGGTGAAAACAATTGACCAATGGAACAACTTGCCTTCAGAAATTGTGGGTGATCTATTGCTGGAGGCTTTCAAAAAGAGACTGGACAATCTGGAATGGTATAGGGTCTCCTGCTCAAGCAGGGGGTTGGACTGGAAGATCTCCAGGGTCCCTTCCAACTCAACTATTCTATGTTCTAAATAAACCCAATTTGGTGACTGAGTCCTGGGCATGTTTTATGGTTATTTTGAGGGCTTTTTATGATTCTTTATCTGTTATATGCTTTATGTCTTGTTCTATTTTAATATTTGTTTATATTTTATTTGTTTTTAGTGAGAGTTGACCCGAGTCACATACTTGAGATGGGTGACTCTATAAATTGAACAAATAAATAATTACAAGTATCTACCATATGTCATTCATAGCAATTGAATTAAGTAACGAAAACTATCCATGAAAGCATCTGTTCCTTTATGAAACTTCATAGAATAAGGGCTGAGCAAAGAAGTGAAGAATTTCTGGACTGGCGTTATTCTTTCTCTGCAATATTTCCAGCAGATTCAGTAACACACTTCTTTGAAATGCTAATGCCAAAATGAAGCGAAGTGCCTGCCTTGCCTCTGGAGGTGTTCCTGTATTCCATGCATTAAACATGCTAATCAGCAAGAAACTGGTTTATTTGAAATATACAACTCCATTCGTGGTATCTCTACATCAGAAAATTTTCCAGTTGCACTTCACTGTTCTAAAATAGATTGGAATACTTAGAAGTTCTAAGAGCTCAGAAACACTGCTGAGTGAAACTGCAAGCCTCATTTAAATATGAGAACTGAAAAGAGGGATAATTGATCATTAGGGAAATTTTAAATTGACATTTTAAATCATGCACATTTCTACTTTCCTAAGATATAGGAGAGGTGAAGCTTTGATTATGCAAGTCTGTGCTCTTCAACGTTAGAGAGTTAGTCTCATTCAATACAGTGGACTTATTTCCATGTAAACAAACAAAGTTTATTGAATAAGATATACAGTATTATCCTATCAGCCATAAGAAATCAGTTAAATTTTTATGCTGTGAATCTTCTCACCACTTTTGAGGTTCTGAAGGTCCCTCGAGACCTAGTTACATCAGGGGAAGCTGAACTAGTGATGTTACTTTATTACTGTTATTATCAACATCTTTTTGTCTATTCTGGTTTAATCTGTTTTATAGTGTTTTTAATGTTTTTAAACATTAAACTCATTACCAATGTTCATGGTAATGATTTTAAATATTTATTTTTAGTTTTGTGACACATTGTCTATGGTCACTTGCTATGAGATGGGTGGCTATATAAATTAGATAAATACATTGGAAAATGTTCACTTTCACAGTGAAAGTGTCATAAAAGGGTGAGGTAGGTGGCTATACAAATTAGATTTGGGAATGATTATACATTAGTAAAATATTATCAAATACTATACTATGTTTTTCTGTGGTCCAATTTTGACCAATTTGGTAAGAATTGTCAGTAGAAATTCTTTCAGCAGTAATAAATTGGAGGCCCACTTGATGGAAAAATTAAAAAGCACATGTAGTTCTCCCAAGGCTTCTATATTCTTTTGCAAACAATAATCATGTGAACCCCTCAAATTTGCCTCATTTGCTAATAAGGATGCCGAAGCTATGTGGCAGGAAGGAGTTGGGGTTTAGTGTCTCTCACCAATATCTATCTCCTCAACAACATTTGGAATAGTTGAGATTCTCTTATCTATGGTAATATTTGTCCGAGAGTGATAAGGGCTAAAAGAACATTCACATGGTTTTTTTTTTCCTTTTCCTTTTATTCATGTCACTGCCCTGGTCAGCAGAGTTTATTGGGGTTACATCCTTGGAAAAAAAACCCAGCAATTCTTGACTGTTTTAAAGATTTAATGTATGGATCAACGTCTTCAATTACTGGGCATAACAACCTTTTTTTTAGTAACCATCTCTAGGTTGAACATCGTTTTAATGTCTGAGCCTTTCCTTTATCAGTTCAGTTTCCAAACACCTTTCAGTAAGTGCCTGTAGAAACTCTGCAAAAAAGAGACCATCACTTTTAAAGCATAGACTGAAATTGCAAATTCCCCCTTTTTATAATATTCCTGAAACATTGTCTAGTTTAGAGAGCAAATTTCACAATCTTCCAGTTACTTTATATTCAGTTGTAAGCTTCTAAATATTAAAGCCCACAGATTTTTGTATAACCTATAGTACACCAATGCAATATTGTAGCTAGGTTTATTTGCAGGGTTTTCAGATAATTTATAAGATTTCTATTTCTTTTATTCATATACTGTCATCCTCTTAAGCAACCCAAGATAGTTTCAAAATAATTTGCTTTAGAGATTATGCTCCAAAAGGGAGTTAATATAAAAAATCAAGACTTAAACATTCATGTAAAGTCTGTCTCATATTTCAAATTCCTTGAAAATCAACCTCTCAGCCATGCCCCAAATTGAAATCTCCATTTAATAAGATAAAATGACACATGAAATATCTATGGATGTTTCATCTGTAATAGCTTACTCATATATAAATAACTATTTAGGCTATAGTTTTTGACAGTTGTATGTGAAATGTCTCTGAATCTTGAGTAGCTCATTTAGGAACTTCACTGTTGAACTTTTATGTCTTTTTTTCACTTATTGAGACTACCTGAAAAATCCCATTAAGTTCCAATGGCTACGTCCAAGAAAAAGAGCGTAATTTTAAATTCTGGATTTAGAGTCTAACTTCTCATCCTGTTTGGAGTAGGATGTCATGATATTCCCTATAATATTCTATGGGAATGAAAGTTGGACTTTGAAGAATCACAGTAGGAGAATATAGGGAGGCATTTTTGAAATTTGATATTGGAGAATGCTTCTAACAATAACATGGACAGCCAAAACACCCCAATGATGATTGAACTAATCAACTCAGAGTACTTAGGGTACAAAAAACTAGGCTCAAATTATCCTATTTCAGACACATGTTATGAAGACCTAGCTTTCTGAAGAAGTCCTTATTAGTGGGAAAGGTAGAAGGAAAAAGAACAAGAGGATGACCAATGGCAAGATGGATAGATTCAATTATAGTGGCAATGAATGAATTACTTGAAGATCTGAAAGATCAGGTCAGGGCGATAATCATGGACAGAAATCTATGTGGTTGCTAGAAGTCAAAAACAGTTTAATGGCACATAATTCATCAATAACCTATTATAATTTTTCCCTGCCTAATATAATTTTTCAACTTTAAAATTGATTTTATAGTTGGAAGTTTTTTTTTCTGACTAATTTTGATACTCGATCTTTGTCTCTTTCTAATCCATCTGCCATTAGCTTTATAATAATTATTTTATAATCTATCATGATAGAACGTAGTAGTAAGGATTCCAGGGAGGGAGAGTGTACATTTGGAGTAGAATAAGAGATAATACAGTCCATATATTTTGTGTGAGAGAAAGAGGGTGAAGACAGCCCTTTCCAAATAATTATCAGAGTAAATGGTAAATGCAGATAGTAGAGTATTTCAGTTTGGCAAGAGTCTGTATATAGGTGTGAAAACAATAAAGAACTCAGCTTAGAATAATCACCACATGGTGTTTTGGGGCCTGACAGATGCTTTAATAGCTGCAGCATAAATACAGAGATACTTGGGAGCAGCTGCATTCAAAGAAATATTAGCTTTGTTTGAGCTAATATGCGACAACTTTGCGCAGTCCTAGTAATCAGTATTTTTATTACATTTCTTTTTTTATTGCAAAGATTTGTATGCTGCCTGATTCATGAGACTCCATGTAGAATGACTAATCTGTAACCACCTTGCTAGAAACTGGTGGAAAAACATGTGTTTTCTAAAGACAATAAAAATATTAAAGCAATATTTTTCAGTGGTGAATTTATTTTTAAAATTAAAAGGAAACTGGAAGCATTAAATCATATAGGTTCTCTTAATATGATTGCAATCTAGTCTAGTCCTCTAGATAAACTGAAAAAAATATATCTGATGTTTGCATTTGAGCAGCCAAGATTATTAAACTTTTCATGGAACAATTTACTATCCCTTTCCTTACATCTTCCTTTTCTGGATTCGAATAGCTTTACTCAAGGACTTGACATTTATTATTCAATTTGAACTTTCTTTGGAACATTTTTGACCCCGATTGCTCAATGGAACATAGTTTTTTATCCAGTTCTCAAAATACACAGGGGAGAAATTGCTTAAGTGCTTTTCTATGCTTCCTATCTTCATCTCTGTGTCTGACTAAAAGATATCAGCAGGAAACAACATGATCGCATTACATGGCTCAGCAGTCTTGTACTCACCCACACACGGACCAGTCCCTTTGCCTCACTGCATTCTGATGTCAGGCCAAAGCAGTAGCAGCTGTTGCAGCCAAGTGGGTTTTTGGCAGAGAGTCCAAATCGGCCAGGTTTGCACCTGTCACAGTTGATGCCTTCCACGTTCATCTGTTAACAAAAAAAAAAAAAAAAAGGAAGAAAAAGCTTTAGAAACGATCATCATTCTTTTTTACATTCTAATTTGCAGCCTAGCTTATAAAAAAAAGAGTTTTAAATTACATAACTACTAGGAGAAAGATACGTGGTAATAAGATACCTTTTTGCAGAAGAAAGCTCAGTGGCTACCACATTCAAAGTCCTATCATTTTTAAAACATTTTTTTCCCTGCCTTTGGTTTTTTTTAAAAAAAATTATTCTGGGGAAACTGAAAAGCAGAAGACCTGGGATCTGATTGAGCCTCAGTGTGAAAAGGAGTTCACAATGGCTAAACTCCAGAGTAGCTTATTATACCCATCAGCACCAGGCCACATAGAAGGAGAATGCTTTTCAGTGCACGGGAAGAATATTTTTTGAAAGTTACTGATAGGTTGCTTTTCATTACTACCATAAGACAGCATAGCAATTCAACAGAAGTTGAGCACAGCCAATAGTTGGAAAATGACAGCTGTTTTATTCCTGAATGAAAGTGTGGACAGCACCACGCTGGGGAAGGCTGAGCTATAATGGTAGGATAAAATCCTCTATGAGCCACCCTTGATTATCTGGTAACTCCACAAGCTTTCCACATGGTTTCCATTGGCAGTGATAATTAAATGGTTTTCTCTTGACTGGTTTCTCAGTCTAGTCTAAACCCCTGGGAATTTCCAATGGTTTCCCATCCAAATATTAACTAGATCCAACTCTCCTCTGCTTTTTTTCCCTTTGGATTGGCCAACCAATGATTGGCTAAGTGCTGCCACTTCCTTGGATTTAAGAATTACTGAAATAAATGACACTTACATCCCATGTTTCGAGTGTCTGGCTAGCAGAAGCACACTTTTTTCATTTAGTTTAAGCTGCTAGTTGTTCTAAAGAGAACCTACTACAAGGAGACAGATTAAAAACAGAAATACATATAAGAGAGTTAAAGCCCCATCTTCTTACTTTACAGGTGCACTGTCCTGTATGATCAGCACAAGAACACTTTTCCATTTCCGTATCGCAAGTCTGGGGCTCGGTCCCCGCTACCAGGCATTCACAGGCAATGCATTGTGGGAAATTCCGATAGCCTAGTCTGCATTCAGTGCATTTATCGCCAGAGAATTCTGGACGACAGAAACAGCAGCCAGTATCAGGGTTGCACTGGAAGCTGAGGGATCCAGCTACGCTGCAATCACAGGCCTAAAGAGAGAGGGAAATTTTTTTTAGCTTGTTTTAGAAAGGAAAACATTTGAAGGATTTCAGTTTTAATCACAGTATACTCGAAAATGACCACGACAAACATTGATAGTTATCAATATATTCATGTTAGTATCGACACATTCATGTTAACATTTGCAGGCACTGATTTCATTTTTCATAAATGTTACTTGAATTGTGTCTCTTTTAAGTAAAGCAGCTGAATACTGGTGGAGGGGGATTGAATGTGATACTTTGCCTCTGAGCCCCAAAGTGGAAAAAAATCTGTGAGTTGTATACAATTGGGACCATTTATCAACAGAATGCATAAAACATTAGCCCAGTGTTTCAAAAATGTAACAACAAAGATGAGTGGACTTTACCTTCCAGAATTCCCCAGCCTCCTTATTCAACATATCAGAAAAATAATGAATATGTAAATCCAGAAGGTTTTCTTTTAACCAGGAATCCTTTTTTTAATTAGAAAAGAAACTAATACTGTAAGTTTTTTTCTAATAAGCATCAATATTTGTATACTAAACATCATTTTCAATTCTATAATAAAAATTCTTCTCTCACGTAGATGGTGAACACAAATGAGTAGAACTGACGTATGTCCGCAAGACCAAATTATTATTACTTTTATTGTCAGAGTACAACATGTGTTGTAAACACATGGATAAAAATGTAAATATGTAAATAATTTATGGATAAATACATACATAAATATGGAGTAGGGTTTCAGATTAACTTAAAATCTTCCCATGGATTAATCTGAGTTTTAAACAGGCAAATAATTCAATTGTAGTTGAAGATAGATTTACAAATTAGAATATAAATATTTATATCATTATATGTATAAATGATAAAATATCAAAAAATTAGTAAAATCCAGACTAACAGATACTCATGAAAAAGATAATATGCCCATTAATGTTTCTATAGCTATATTGTGTAAGTGTGTGGCGTGCTTTGACTTCAGTCTTCAAAAGGTGCTTTGAAATGCATGGGAACATGAATGTAGGATCTGTCTGCAACTCATTAAAACAACCATGTCATTCCTGGGATTTTCTAGCAGGTGCAAAGATCAAATTCAAAGTCCTGCATAGTCTTAATGTTATACATACACTATAGTCTGATATTGCAGTGTGAGCATAGAATATTAAGTCAGAGCATTCAGTTTGCAAGAAATTTTTTAGGCACAGCTAGAAGAAAAACAAGCAGAGGAGCCTTGCTGAAACTGAAGAGGTGTGGCCTGTGTGATTTTTTTTAGGGCTGGGAGGGATATCCCCAAATCAATTTCCCCATCATGTTATTAATATCCCTTTCATGCTATCAATATTCCCTTTTTACTAGAAGTCCAAGTGGTAAGAAGTAGATTTTGAAGGAGCTTTACAGTTAGTCCTCAACCACAGTTGAGCCCAAAATTTCTGTTGCTACATGAGATAGCAATAGCAATTGCACTTAGACTTATATATCGCTTTACACAGTGGTGGGATTTAAACATTTTTACTACTGGTTCTGTGTGCGTGGCTTGGTGGGTGTGGCATGGCTTGGTGGGCATGGCAGGGGAGGGATACTCGAAAATCTCCATTCCCTCCCCACTCCTGGGGGAAGGTTAGTGCAAAATCCCCATTCTCTCCCCACTCCACTAACCTGCTTTCCAGCTCCATTCTCCTGTGCAGGGCAGCAAAAGAAGACCCAGACAATTAGCTGGGACTCGGGGGACTGCAGACAGATCCTACATTCATGTTCCCATGCATTTCAAAGCACCTTTTGAAGATTGAAGTCAAAGCACACCACACACTTACACAATATAGCTATAGAAACATTAATGGGCATATTATCTTTTTCATGAGTATCTGGGACTGTGTAGGGCAGCAAAAGAAGACCCAGCCAATTAGCTGGGACTCGGGAGCCAGAGAATAGATGGGACGAAGCCAGTCAGTGGTGGTATTTGCAGGTTCTCTGAACTACTCAAAATTTCTGCTACTGATTCTCCAGAACTGGTCAGAACCTGCTGAATACCACCTCTGGCTTCACAGTGCTTTACAGTCCTCTCTAAGTAGTTTACAGTCAGCCTATTGCCCCCAACAACCTGGCTCCTCGTTTTATCCACCTTGGAAGGATGGATGGCTGAGTCAACCTTGAGCCTGGTGAGAATTGTACTGCCAAATTGCAGGCAGCCAGCAGTCGGCAGAAGCCGCCTGCAGTACCGCACTCTAATCACTGCGCCACCATGGCTCTTGATATTTGGAGATATTTGTTAAGTAAGTTTTGCTCCATTTTACAACCTTTCTTGTCACAGTTGTTAAATGAATCACTGAGCTTGTTAAATTAGTAAACAGGGTTATTAAGGGAATCTTTGACTTTGCTTGTCAGAAGATTGCAAAAGGGGATCACATGACCCCAGGACACTGCAAACGTCATAAATATGAGCCACTTACCAAGCATCTGAATTTTGATCACATACATGAGCATGGGATGCTATAATGGTTGTAAGTGTGAAAAATGATCATAAATCCCTTTTGTTCCAGTGATGTTGTAACTTTGAGCAGTCACTAAATGAACTGTTGTAAGTCAAGGAGTACCTGCATTGTTTCATTTCAGGGCAACCCAAATATGGGCTTGAATGGATCTAGGGTGATGAGCAATTAAGAACCACTGGTTATGCATTCTAAGAAGCAGGGGAGCCTGTACATTGAGAAATACCAGATATAACCTCTTGTGAGCAAATAGTTCACCATATGCAGAGTAAATTACAACCAGCTCTCAGGTTTGTTTTGCAAGAAGGCAGCTTCATGCAATATTCCTTTGCCTGCAAGTTATGAGAGACTCTGAAATTGGCTCCACTAAAAGCTCAAACAGAGAAGGGGGCACTTGCACCTGGCTTTGGAGAAATGAGTTGAAATACGTTAAAAAGGGAGACTTGGCTGACAGATCATTATTAATTTAGAGAGTGCCATAGCAGCTGCCATACTAATGCACTCAGATAATAGACAAGGCAAGGAGGGATATGAGAGAGCCCAGAACTGAAAGAGGGGTCTTCACCCTCATTAAGCCACTTTGCAGAAGCTTGGCGATCGGTATGCTGGAGAAAGACGGATGCTTCGTAAGAGAGCTTTACAATCCCCAAAGAAAATAAATTTATCTCATTAATTAACTGGATTAACAACCATAGAAATAGATTTGATTGCTTGCATTCAGGACACATATTCTTAAACAACTTAGTGCAACTGTAAACCGACTTAACCCTCTTTTTGTTGCTAGTAATCATTATTTGCACAGCTTTTTTTTTTTTAGCTGATTACAAACTTTATTTTTCAGTGTATTCTCAAGAAACTAATTCGGATTGAAATAGCAACAATGTAAAAATAAGTAAGAGTGCACAAGTTGCTTATAAGCCCTATAGCTAAATGGAACCATGCAGATTGGGGCTAGACAGAGATAAACAATAGCTTCTTTACATTTGACATTGTCAGTGCAATTCACTGCCATTAAATATATTGATGAGCAATAAGATAAACACTACTTGGAAATTAAGTATTTAATAATCCTAATAAAAGGATCCTTCATATTTTATCACATTAATATCCAAGGAGATCAGAACAGTGTAGATATAATCAAAATAGCATATCAGCATTATCCAATTTATTTATATAATAATATCTAGTGTCCATTTCAGTTATATAATATCAATATTTTAGGATCAATACAAAAGTACATAATACATGTGAGCTTACCACTGGTCATCTTTGTTTTTAACCTGATTTCTCTTCTATGTTTCATTTCTATTTTTAATTTAAAAAACTAATAACAATATTGTCTATAAATATGAAAAATGTTATCCTGGAATAAAATGTTTGGAATATTATTAATATAATCCATGGAAAAAGTGATGCCTTTCATTTTTTCTTTAAAAAAAGTAGATCTCAGCTAGCAACATTTCGCTTTGTTGGGATAAATTGTATCCGAGTGTAATTATATAGGTACTATATGTTCTTTTGCTTTCAACTAGAAGAGCTGATTCACAATATGTGCGTGTATGACATTTCTGTGCATGCTATGCCAGTTCTAGTTAAAACACAACTTCAAGGATATGCAAGACAACTTTATCTGGTACAACTTCCTAAAGTTAGGACAGTGGAAAAAGAAAGAAAAGAAACACTCACCTTGCATCCACTGATAATATCATGACCCCAGTGGTTCGGTACACATTTTTCACATCGGTTCCCTGTAGTATTGGGAGGGCAGATGCAACGGCCCGTATGTGGGTCACAATTATTACCAAGATGGGAACATTGACAAGCTTCATGGAAGAGGATTAAGAAAGACAAAGACAAGCATTTTAAAACATGGAATACACTACTCTATATATACTGCAGAGAATAATTTTCGGCATTTGATGCAATTCTCTGAAAGTTTATCCAATCGTGGGCTAGTAAAATAATAAATCAGTGACATTCCAATATGGTCATGATGAGTACCAGAAGGAAGTAGGACAAAGAAGTGGGTTTATCATTTGAGTTACCATTAAAAATATTTTGAATGATGTATTCAATATATTTTGAACAATAACTCAAGAAGATAAACCCACTTCTTATTATTAACATTTAATAATTTTAACCTAGCTCTCATTGAGGACATTTGTGGCATGAAAGGGAGCAGCTACAGATAGACCTTGACTTATGATCCCAATTCACTCCAAAATTTCTGTGGCTAAGCGAGACATTTCTTAAGTGAATTTTGTTCCATTTTCTTGCCATAGTCATTAAGTGAGTCACTACAGTTGTTCAGTTAGTAACACAGCTGTTAACTGAATCTGACTTCCCAATTGACTTTGCTTGTCAGAAGGCTGCAAACTTCATAACTCTGGAACACTGCAACCGTCACAAATAGGAATCAGCTGCCAAGCATCTGAATTTTGATCACGTGATCATGGGAATACCGCAATGGTTTTAAGTGTGAAAAATGATCATAAGTCACTTTGTTCAGTGCTGTTGTAATTTTGAATGGTCATTAAACGAACTGTTGTAAGTCAAGGACTACTTGTATTGGTTCAGAACTTTGCTGTATTCTAAGGTTCTTTCCTTCAGTCCATTTCCGATAGAAAGAGTCCTTTCTTCTTTTCTTTTCCCCCTCATTAGAGAAACCAGCTCTCTATCTTAGCATGAGGCTTCTTTAAGATACCTTTGGGAACTTAAGCAATTATTTCTATATACCCCTAATGGGTTTTGTTAATCACACACTTAGGGTTATATTCCCCAGGGAATGAACTTCAACCAGGGTTATTTTATTTCCCCCCCTCAACAGTTGTGTAGATCCTGTTCCAAATAGCAACTTTTCGGAAATAAGAGAACATAAAACCTGCTATTCTTAGCATGCTAGCTGTTCATTTATCTTTTTTTCTTGGAATGAATGAAATAAAGAGAATAGTGATTCTGTTTTAAATATTTGCCAAGTAAGCAGATAGCAAACCTATATCTTTGTGCTTAGCATAATACCTATATAATAATAATAAATACTTCCAAATAACTGCAATGGAATTGATGTTAAAAAAACAAACACCAAAATTATTACCTTAGGTTGGAACCCAGTATTTATTGTACTTTTGTCTTGTTGTGGAGTTTTAACTAGGCAATGTATTAATCTGTAAGGAACAATCGGTGAAAATAATGGACAGATGATATTTTAAAATGTCCATCAATTCTGCAGAGCTAATCCAATTCTCTTTTTTCTCTATCCTTAAATCATATTTGTTTTTGCAAGATATAACAGTTTAAATCATCAGTCTCCACAGTTTTATATATTTAAATTGGGATAACAGGCACTATTTCATGACTGAAAATACAATTAACTTTAAAAATAAAATTCCACATGTAAACTCATTATCAGAAGGCTGTGCACTGAATAAAGAATTCCTACTTAGTTTTAATCTAAAATGCATGTTTTTCAAGGCTATTTGCATTAATATAACTGTAAATTTCTTTGTGAAAAAGAGATACCCTTGATGGCTCTGTCTTGCTGTACTAGAAGGGACAAATCATTGAGTGATAGGAAATTTAGATTCGGGGCTTTTAGACTTTTCACATCAGGTACAACAATGAAAGTTGATTCTCCAGAAAGCCAATTCTGTTAACTCCAACCTAATTAAATAATAGCAGAAGATTCACACATTCAAAGTGGCTACATATTTTAATTTGTAAGTTATATCCATGCCTATCTGCCAACACAGGAATAGGAGATGTATCACATATAAACATACATAGAGGAGCCACTTTAGTGTAGTGGTTAAGGCACCAGGCTAGAAACCAAGAAATTGTGAGTTCTAGTTCTACCTTAAGCATGAAAGGTAGCTGGTGAATTTGGGCAAGTCACTCTTTCTCAGTGGGCAATGTCAGACTCAGATGACAAGCCAGTTAGTCGATTCCTGACCAATGGATCAATATTTGGTTGGCCTGAAAAAATAGGACCCTGCACATCCGTGAAAATGATAGGAAGATACACACACACACACACACAATCAATCAATCAATCAATCAATCAATCAGAATAGAGCTGGAAGGGATCTTGGAGGTCTTCTAGTCTACCCCCTGCTCAAGTAGGAGACCCTATACAATTTCAGACAGGTGGTAGTCCAGTCTTTTTTTTAAAAAAAAAATCTTCCAGTGATGAAGCACCAATGACTTCTGATGGCAAACTGTTCCACTGGTTAATTGTCCTCACTATTAGGAAGTTTCTCCTTAATTCCAGGTTGTTTCTCTCCTTGAGTGGTTTTCATCCATTATTTCTTGCCTTGCTTTCTGATGTGTTGGAAAATAAGTTGACCCGCTCCTCTTTGTGGCAGCCTTTGAAATACTGGAACACTGCTATCGTGTCATCCCTATCCCTGCTTTTCTCTAGACTGGACATACCCAATTCTTGCAACCGTTCTTCATATGTTTTTGTCTCTATGTCCTTAATCATCCTTTTTGATTAAGGACACCCTTTTTGTCTCCAGTTCCTTAATTGCTCTTCCTTGCACTTTTTCCAAAGTCTCAACATCTTTTTTGTAATGTGGAAACGAAAACTGGATGCAGTATTCCATGTGTTGTCTTACATACACATACTCACCCCCCGACAGAGAGAGAGAGAGAGAGAAAGGGGAGAGGGAGAAAAAGGGAGAGGGAGGGAGGGAGAGGGAGAGAGGGAGGGAGAGAGAGAGAGAGGCTACAAGTTTTAAAAACCAGTAGGATGGTGTTACAAAGTTGGATAATGAGTCACCACAGAGCACCAAGAATCCCACAGATTTTCCTCTACTAGGCACAAACATGATCAATGCAGTGATGAAATTTCCCACAGTTAGTTCCTGAGCCAGCATGTGCTATACATCTATCCAATATATTGAAGAACTAATGTTATCATTTTCAAGTCATATTGTTAGTGCTATAACAAGCTGGGGAAAGACTGACATTAAAGTCCACATTTTTTTTCTTGCAAAGTAAAAATTGCACTTTGGTAGAGAAAACAAAAATAATCCTTGTGCACACAGCTTGACATAGAATTCTTCTTTTTTTTTTTGCAAGAACATTTCTATACTAGGCTCAATATGTTTTCTATATTTAGCTTCCAGTAGGGAGCTCATATTCATAATGTTTGCTCTGTTCATTATATTCCTTTAATTTTAATTTACTTTTTAAAGAAAATGTTACCTTGCAAGATAAAAAGAAAAAAGATCTTATTTTCTTATTTACTGCATACAAAAGAAGCATAAATAGACTGGCTTTAAAATAAGCACAATTGTTTGATCTATTTATCCTGGTCAAATAGAGAATATCTAGGAATACACAATTAGTATAGTCATTCAAGGATGTCTGTACGAACTTTATCAGAGTCTAAGGAATGTTTCCCAAAAGCATACATTGTTGACCAGGAAAGAAAATGGAAAAGATCAGGATGTTGTATACTGCAGTTAGAACCTATTAGGACTGTACCATTTTTGTCCATTTTGCACAGAATAGTGGTATCTATTCTACTGATGATTATTTTTATCTGTATGCTGATGCATTGTTTAAGATGCATTCATTAACCGTTAGTGCATCATTTATTTCCAACACTATATCATAGAAAATAATGGAGGTTGATGGATCAAACATGGTCATTCAAACAGTGACAAATGGTTATCGAAAGTTTTCATAACAAAACCAACAGCAGACCTACAGACCTGCAAGCGTCACAAAAATGACAAATCACAGTAATTCCTGGTGTGCTTGTTCAATCTCCTTTTATGCTAAGTTCTTTAATATTAGATTTATCATTTATTTTTCATTTTATGTGTTTCTTTTCAATGAATCCAAGAAATGACCTTTTATTCTTACCAAACGCTGTCATGCTTGAACATTAACATGACAATAAACACACCTTCATAGGTTCATGCTTTCATTTCTAGGTCTGTACAAGAATTGAGTCATGGTTCTGAATATAATCTGCAGAAATTTATCTCACCAACAAAATTTGCTTTTCACTAGTTAACAGAAGGATCACACTAAGTTATCCCTCAATAGCCTTGAGGTTACTGTCGTTCTTCAGAATAATCAGGAGGAGGATTCTTATTACTCAGTGTTACCACAAAAAAACCTGGACATTTGAATAGGAGGAGCCTATTTGATGTTTTGAAGATAGACTTTAGAGTACCAGACAAGTTCAGCCAAGGTTTAATTTAGATTGCGATCGTATATGCAAGGTAGAGAAGGTCCCATTTAATTCAATTTTATTTAATTCTGAATAGGGATGCAGAGAACCAGGCTCCTTGTTTAATAAGATAGCTTTCCTTCCATATGTATTTG